CTACTAAACAGCAACTGTTCCAATATAGTAACATCCCATAAACACACCCTTGGCAAAGGCAAATTCACTAAAATAGATTGTCTCACGTGCAGTTCTTCAGTCCAGGAGGAAAGAACATCAAGAGAAAACTCTGAGATAGAGAGAAAAAGAACTTGAGCATTTTGCTGCAACAGGAAGAGATGTAACAAAAACAAAGTTGCTGGAAAAGCTCAGCAGGTCTGGGGAAGGGTCACCGAACCCGAAATGTTAACCCTGTTTTCTCCTTCACAGATGCTGCCACACTTGCTGAGCTTTTCCAGCAACTTTGTTTTTGTTCTTGATTTACAGCATCTGCAGTTCTTTCGGTTTTTATTTAAGAAGAGCTGTAAAACAGCTTCCAAACCCAAGAGCTACTGAAAGCTGAAACTAAATTCCTGGTTCTTTGGGAGCTTGACTCCACCTATTCTTGCTGCTTCTATTATTCCAACTTGTAAAAAAAAATCAAAGCTAGCGACTTTGCTGGGCTCAGAGCAGACAGCTCGTCTCCAAGTTTACAACACTTGCTTTCAGAAGAAACATGGCAGAATAAATCCTTCTTAAAGGCGTGTCTCATACCAAAATGTGAACCCAAATAATCCCATTCTGGCAGTTGCAGTGACAGGAAAATCCAGCCTGTGGTCTGCACTGCAGTTTAGGAAATCCATCTTTAAATAGGCATTGATTGTTGAAAGTATTCAAAAACAGATGTTGCAATGGTGAGTGAACATAAGATGGTTTAACCAACCTCATTGATATGTTTGTATAATGTGGCTCAATTGGATCAGAACACTGTGGATAGTGCAGCACTGAAAATTGAGCGGTCCTGATTCTGGTGACAAACCTGTTTGAGATTTAAATTCCATTTCAATTTTTGGTGATTTTGCTTTGATTCTGAGGCATCCAGGACACTTAAAAAATTCAGTTAGCTGCAATCCAGCTATACAATGTTACGGACCTGGGTGAGGTTCCCAAATTTGTTACGATTCGTTTAGCATCCAGGTTGTAAAAGTAGATAGAGTTTGAAGTCACAGTTACTCACTCATAGAATAAAGTCACAACGTTCAATGTTTTATACAAGTGAAACAAATTTTACTGTGCGGGACTCATGTAATTGTCAAACTATGGAGGAACACACTACAAACTGTATATGTAAAAGCAAACATGACTAAAACAGATCCCAGTAATTTTCTTTACATCCCACCCAGGCATCTGTAATCACCTGTAGGCCACAAAAATCCTTTTAAATTCTGCCTCAGCCTACTGCACTCAGATATTGTATTGGCTATGTTGTTCCACAAAATACATCTGCTCTTTTTATTTGAAATTCAGGCTATGTTTGATTGGATGGATATTGCAGAGACTAAGTTAAATACACTACCTCCAATTGGTACAGATCTTGAAACAGTGAAGCAACAAATTGCTGAACTCAAGGTACGTAAATCTGCATTATTTGTGGCTATGCAGGTGAGCAACATTGAAGATCAGTGTCAGTTATGGTTTTGTCGTTGCTAAGTTTGTGTGAATTTGAAAGGAGCACTGTTGACACGGATGCAGATCCTGTGATGTTTGTGCATATCTGAATTTCTAACAGCAATTTAAGACTGAGGCATATCAGCAGCAAATAGAGATGGAGCGACTGAACCATCAGGGAGAATTGTTATTGAAGAAAGTGAGCGAAGATGATGACAAGCGTGTTGTACAGGAACCTCTTCATGAGTTGAAACATCTCTGGGAAAATCTGGATGGGAAAATAGTCAACAGACAAGTAAGTATATCTGTGATGCCCTAAGGACCTCCGAACGTTAACCACCCCATTCCTCCAAACCCCTTCTCACTCTAAAATGCACAATCTAAAGTTTTATCTATTACCAAATTTACCTTTTAATATTGGGTATCAAACAGAAACTAAAGTGATCACTATAACGCTTAATCTTGTGTATGAGTGATTTAACAAATGAAAAACTCAGTTATCCATTGAAATGGCATCTACTTCATTTAAGATTGAATTTGAGCATGTTAGCTTTGATTTAATGATTCCATAGTTTCAAGTGGTGTTGAATACATCGTGATGAAATTACTAATTCACTTGTAATTGCAGCATAAACTGGAAGGTGCTCTGTTAGCTCTGGGACAGTTCCAACATGCCCTGGACGAGCTGATGACGTGGCTGACCCATACCGAGGAGCTCCTAAATGAACAGAAAGCTGTTGGTGGAGATCCTAAAGCCATTGAAATCGCAATTGCTAAACATCACGTATGTAGTGCAATGTTTCTGTATCTCTGGGTTTTCAGTTTGACTTTTTAAGTCTTCCAGTTGTCAGGGTGACATGCAGTTTGTCTTCTTGTATTCTTTGTCTGAAGACAGGCCCTTGATGATTATTTGCTGAATCTCACAGCAAAGAGATTATATATTTACTCAGGACAGGATGAGAAGGCAGGCCCAAAGTCTGCCTCATCCAGAACAGAAATCCGACTCTGTGTTGCTGGTGTCAATCCAAACTGCACACTAACCGTTTAATGTAATTAACCTTTTCCCCCTAAAATGTGAATTTATGTAATCAGCCAATTATAGAATAATATATCACAGATGGAAGCCATTCAACCCACGATGCTAGCTCTTAGTTCCAAAGCCCTCATAATCCAATTCCCATTTAATGTGCTTTTTAAAACCAACAGTCTGGTTGCTAATATGTTTAGTATTTGTCCTAGCTAACACCCAGTATGTTGATTCATGATCTCACTGATTTAAAGTTGTGTTGCTTCCCTCTATTTTCGAACAAGCAGTGTGGCAGAATCACCATAACATTTGACCTGGTAATGGGTGAAATGGGCAGTGCAGAGCTTCAATCCATGAGCCTGTTGGTGCCACAGACCAGTAAGAATAAAGAATCCTGGGAATGCCCAGCAGGTCAGACATTACCTAAAAGAGGAGGTGTCACAGGTGCTGGGTCAGGCCACCAGAGGAGCTGAACATACTGAGAAGGAATTCCAAAACCTTCTCAATCATTTCACTTGTGTTTTTAATGTTTTGCTATTATACATTTGCATATGTATTTTAATGAGACAGAGAGGCTTTTTTTCATGATGGAAAGGGAAACTGCAACAGCGCATTGCTAAATTATTTTTAATGGAAGCTTTCTGTGACAAATTGTCCACTTGGTGTGCAGCTTTTGGAAGCATGATCAGTATAGCTTGCATTGTATTTACAAGAAGTAATTTTGTTTTATATTCCCTGTTGAGTGCTTTTTATGCCACCACAACCAGAAATGAACACAGATAAGGTCTAACTAGAACCTGTAAAAATGAATCAGCACAAGTGTAGGCAAAAGCTCGAGATTGGGCTTGATCCTTAGAGAAGAGGCTCTCCCTGAAAGAGGTTTTTATTCTGACTCAATTTGTAGTCTATTAAGATTTAAGATTTAATTTGCATGGCGCAAGTATCTGTGCAAAGCTAAAGCTGCTTCTCACCAGCATTGGTGGTGTGACTATCTCCTAGCTAATTAACTGCTGGTCATTTTTTTCTCACTACTTTTCACCATTCCTTCCCATTAGTAGAGTTTGTTTTCAACAGAACATCTTTAATGTGTGTCTTGGTATTCAGTAGCAACCAAATACGTGGTCACCCAAGAGCTTGGGGTCCTGGGATCCAGTTGGCCACAAATACATCTGACTGGACTTACTGGATAGTGTTCGAAATGTTGTTGGCTGCTTTCTGTCCTGTTACTGAGCCCAATTGTATCATTTCTCCACTGCCCTGTTCTGAAGTCATCAATTCAGCACTGAGTCTGATGCTTTTCTTGACTTCTGTGATTCACTTCTCATTGGACTGCCAGAGTCATAACTCAAATCTACTACCAGTGTCTTTTGCACTTTAGGTTCTACAAAATGATGTCCTAGCACACAGGTCCACTGTGGAGACTGTGAACAAAGCTGGAAATGACTTGCTCGAATCGAGTGATGGGGAGGAAGCCAGCAGCCTGCAGAGCAAGCTAGAAGTCCTGAATCAGCGCTGGAATAATGTCTTGGAACAAACTGAGCAACGGCAACAGCAATTGCATCTCTCTCTCATCCAGGTAAGGCAGGGTCGAGAATTCATCACAAGCTGGCTTGAGCCCAGACTGAAAGGTGCTACTAACTACAACTGCAAAAATCTTAACTGGAGATTCAGGAATCCAACCTCTCAGATGAACATCATGGAGAGCAATAGTTCTGTATGAGAGTAAGATTCAAGATACTTGAGAATCTGTGATACAAATCAAAATTAATTTGTAGCCATTAGTTTTGGGTTGGTTTTCAAGACATCGGTTCCCTTCTGATTATATTACTGTTGGAGTCAATCAGGAAATGGTGGCTGAAAGAAATTTAAATATCTGCATGAGAACAAATGTTGAATGTCTTGATGTTAATTTTTTTCTTCTTCCCAGGAACTTTCTTTTTCTTCTCCCCCTGGTTCCCCATGATAAAAGATGTCCCTTCTAGTTTGGGGATGAACATCAATTCAATTGCTTCTCACCAACCACTAGAAAAATGGTTCTGACCTAGTTCCTTTCCTCCCGTGCTGCTATTTGCTTTGCGACACAAAATGAGACTATTCATCCATCGAGTCAATATTATCTACCCTCAGAATAATCCAATCAGTCCCACTCCCCATTCAATTACTGCAGCCCTGCATGTCTATTTTTCTCAAGTGTCCATCCAATTCCTTTTTGAAATTGTTGATTGTTTCCACTGTCCTCATGGGCAGCATGTTACAGGTCATTACTGTGTATTCAAAAAAAAACGTTCTTCCTCACGTACCACTGTGAATCAAGTTTATTTTCCCTTGGTCTAAAGGCCTTCCTGTGTGGCCTGACTATAATCAGTGAATAGGGATAAGCTATCAGGCTGCCTCTTTCTTTGACACTGCTCAGAGTTGCATCACCTTTGAATGAAAATTTCTTTTGCTGGCCTTGGCTGCTCCAGCACCACAGCTCAGACAAGGTCAATGTCCTTGACTAAATTGGTTTCAGAGAAAATGCAATTATCAGTTAGGTTGCAGGGTTAGGATGGTTTCTCTTTCTTGTATCCTGGTCAGCTGAAGATTATAATGTGCTTTCTCTATACTATATAGGCTCAAGGTTTCCAGAGCGAGATTGAAAATATGCAGCGCTGGCTGGTAGACACTGAACGTCAGCTGTCAGCATCAAAACCTGTTGGAGGTCTGCCAGAAACTGCCAGGGAGCAGCTTAATGTTCATCTGGTATGTATTGTTCGGTAACAAAGGGTGTTTAGATGGTTTAGTTACAGAACTGGGAGAATAGTGTGCGTCAAAATAATGAACACGAACAAAGTTGGATTACTTAATGACGATTAAAGGCCCTTGTGCTGAAAATATTGCTTTATTCGAATTTGGGGCCCATTGTTCTGGTGACAAAACTTGAATGAATTGTGAATCCCAGTTAATGTTCTAACATCTTATTGACTTGTGTTGAATGATGCTCCTAAAGGAGAGTCAGGCACCTGGCGCTGGCTTCAGCAGGACCCCATCTTTCAAGTTCCTTTTGCACAACATGAAAAGTTCTCCTCTGAGAAGACTAGAAACTTTCATTTCCTTTTATTGTAGAGACTAATAGTTTAATTTAAATGAATGCATATTATACCTATTTCCTTTTATTGTAAGGAGGCAAAAAAAAATATCATGACCCATGTTGTCAAGTGTAACACACTCCCTTCCTGGATCAGAAGGTCATAGTTCAAGCTCCATCCCTGAGCCTTGAGCATGTAAATCTAGGCTGTAAATCTAACTCTACATACTGAACCAATGGAGGTGCCATCTTTTGGTCAGAAAGTGAAACCATGTGAAAGATCTGAGGACACAATATTGAAGAGAAGAAGGCACTTTCCTTGTGGTCAATATGTATGGTTCAGAAGTATCATTAAAGCTGACTTTTCAACATTTTTTCCATTGATATTTGTGAGAATTTGCTCTGGTTAAATTAGCTGCTATGTTTTATTTATTCTTTATTCTTTCATGGCATGTGGGCATCACTGGCGAGGTCAGCATTTGTTGGCCATCACTGATTGCCCTTGAAGTGAGTGAATTACTGAACCATTTAATAGAGTAATTAAGAATCAACCATATTTCTGTTGATCAAGAATCACATTTAGGCAGACCAGGTGAGGATGGCAGATTTCCTTCCCTAAAGGACATTATCGAACCAAATGAGTTTTTGACAACAATTTGATGATATTAGTCATGGTTTCCATTATTGAGATGCCTTTATTTTCCAGATTTATTAATTGTCATTTCAATTCCACCAACTGTAATTTGAACCACGTCTCCCAAGGCATTAGCCTGGGCCTCTGAAATACTAGTCCAGTGACATTACCACAACACCATTGTTTCACATTTCCACAAAACAATGACAGTCATAGATGCTTCTTGGCCCTCCCCAAAAAAGTGCAGATCTAATGATGAAGGTAAATGAGCCATAGTTAAATCTTTGTTTTTCTTGTCCAAGTGGGAGTAAGCATCTTCCAAACTTTCACGAGTGTCTCCTACAATACTGGGAAACCGGTTAAAATGTTTTGTTTTTCACCACTTGTGACAGTTTCCCTTCTAATGTAGGTGCTCGTTACAGGCCAAGGGAACAGCAGACTGCCTTGGTGGCCTTTACATAACACTCCACCTGCTCCACCTCACAGCAGCCAGGAGCAGAAGTGCATCCAGCACCATACTGTTTCACATTTATCTGGAAGTCCAGAGAGACAGACAGGCACCCTCTGGGCACATCGTCCATCTAGTCACTGGAAAAACCTCCTTTTACTTCGCCAGGCTTGCATTTGGTGTTGAATTTCATTTCGGTGAATTAAGTTTGGTGTTCACCTCAGATCTTTGCAGCAGCCCAGTATATAGAACAGGGCAGAGCAGGTGGTGAGATAGTGGTAATGTCACTGGATTAGTAATCCAGAGCCCCAGGCTAATGTTCTAAAGTCTTGGTTCATAGTTTACTGAACTCTGGAAGAAAATGCCAGCCTAATAGCAACTACATAACGATTGTCAATTGTTATTTTTTTAAAAAAACCCAAGTTAACTGATATCCTTTTAAGGAAGAAAATCTCAACTTTATTTGATCTGGTTTACATGTGACTCCAGTCCCACAGTAATAAATGCTGATTAGATAAAAAGACAGGTTGAGGAATTTGGAAAAAGTGGAGGCCATTCAGTTCTCTGAGCCAGTTAGACCACTCAGTTAGATCATGACCAGTTTACCTACTAGTGATCCATATCCCTTCCTACTTATACCCAACCAATCCACCAATTTGAGCTTTGGAAAGTTAAATTGCACAACCGCCACCTCCCATCCCCTACCCCATCAGCATTCACATCTTCTCTGAGGAATGGTGTTCCAGACTTCGTTCCCCATTTATGAGAATTTTTTTTCTGATTTCACTCCTCCACAGCCAGGTTCTATTTGATTCTGTCTACCCTTCTGCCATTTTGAATGCCTCACCTAGAATGACAAGGGCAGGAGGTACACAGGAACACCATCACCTGCACGTTTTCCTTCAAGTCACCCACAATCCTGACTTGAAACTGTATCGCCGTTCCTACACTGTCACTGGGTAAAGTCCTGAAGTTCCTTTCTAACAGTGCTGTGGATGTTCCTGCTGCAATGAAATACAGCATGGTTTAGCTCACAGCCACATTCTCCAGAACAGTTAGGGATGAGCAATACATGCTGGTCTAGCTAAAGATGCCTTCCTCCCATGTTTATTTTTTTTTAAAATTAGATAACCCTACTCCTTCTAAACCCAAGGGAGTGAAGGCCAAGGTTACACAACATGGTGAATATGTGCTTTACTTGTTTAAGGCCAGGAATGAACACAGCTAAGATCTAACGTGAACCTGTAAAAATGAAGTATTCCAACTTGTTCTTAATGATAACTGGGTAAACGTATCCGTGTGTGAACACTCACAATTAACAAGGTGATATATATGTTCACCTAGGAACTCTGTGCTGCATTTGAAAACAAAGAGGAGATCTACAAGAACCTGATAAACAAGGGACAGCTGAGCTATGAGGGCATTGATGACAGTAATGTGGAACAAGGGATCAACAACCTAAAAGAAAGATGGGAATCAGTTGAAGTAAAACTAAATGAACGAAAGGTACAAACATGTGTATTTTGCTAATGTGAAATTGTGTAAAAATGCTTTAAATAAATTTTCAGTTTTTAATACAATAGAGCAGTTTTTTATCCTTTGTTTTCCTGAATAATTTTAAAGTCCAATTAAAACAACAACTGCATTTATATGGCATCTTCAATAGTACATGCAATGCAGCCCAAAACATCACAAGACTATTTGATTTATAAGGAAAGATGAAATTGAAAAGGCATTTAAATACTAAATAAAATGCTTGCATCATCATGGACAAGGAGATGTTCCAGAAATAGTAATTATGAAAACTTGCCGTTAAATAGGTGATCTCAGGTAGAGGTCACAGACATTGCTTCACTGTGGGAAATGGAAAAGTGTGATGAAGTACAGAGAGCATGGACATTTCTGAGGATTAGGTTGAGGCATGTTGTTGAAACAGAGTAGAAGAAGCTTTACCCTGCATTTAATAGTGCTGTACCTAAATTGAGAGTACCAGATGCTGGTGCTGGATTCCAAAGTGGAAAATGCTCCACTCCTCACCAGTGACACTCTTCACTTTTAAATACAAAAATACGGAGAGAAAGGACGAACAAACTTACACCTCCCCAGCATCTAATGTAACCTTCACAGATTCCAAGATGCCTCACAGACAAATTTCTAAAGTGTAGTTCCTGTTGTAATTTGGGGAAATAATGAGTGCTTTGATTGGACGTGTAGCAATTATGAAGGTTGAACAGTTGACCACCATCTCATTATATGCAGGTTAAACTGGAGGAGGCCCTCAACCTAGCCACTGAGTTTCACAACTCACTTCAAGATTTCATCAACTGGTTGACCCAAGCAGAGCAAACTTTGACATTAGCTTCTTCACCAAGTCTTATTTTGGACACAATTTTGTTCCAGATTGATGAACACAAGGTAAATGACCTGAGATGATGTTCAAGAAATATCTAAATTTCTTTGAGAAAAAGCATATTGACCTTTGTTGCATTGAACAAACACATTCTGCGATCGTGTTCCCGCATTTTCAGGTTTTTGCCAACGAAGTCAACTCACATCGTGAAAAAATAATTGAACTGGATAAGACTGGGACCCACCTGAAGTACTTCAGTCAGAAGCAGGATGTGGTGCTGATTAAAAATTTGTTGATCAGTGTTCAAGCTCGATGGGAGAAGGTTGTGCAGCGTTCTGTTGATAGGGGAAGAGCACTAGATGATGCAAGGAAACGTGCTAAACAGGTAAAGGAACTTATAGACAATTGTTTTGGAACAGACTAAAATTATGATGTGAAATTTGTTTCTATAGCTTTGTCAAGTGTATGGGAATTAAGTCAAAGTTTCTAGAGGTGTGATCTCCTAAAATGTTTAATAAGTCTAGAGTTTATGTTCTTTATTACTAACAGCTGATACTTTGATCTTACAACACTAACATGCTTCTGAAGTACACAGTAGATTCTCTTTCTGTCTCCAGCCTTTGTTATTACATAGATTTCACATTAGAGAAAAAGGCTATTCCACCCAGCTATTCCTCACAAGCTACCTCTCACCTTTCATCATCTAACCCTATCAGCATTTATTATTTTCTCTTTCATACACTTAACTAGCTTTCCCTTAAATGTGTCTATGCTGTTCACATTTTAAACCTTCTGTGTAGTAGCAGATCCTACCTTCTCATTGCTCTCTAGGTATAAACATTTCTTCTGAATTCCTTATTGGAATTATGACTATCTTGTATTTATGACTGTGGATGCACTCACAGTTGCTAAAGTGTAAAGACTATGAAACAGCTTTGCTGCTTAATGGAAAACTCAAGTTTGTACATGTTCTAACTTCCTGTTTGGATCTATATAGTGAAAGAAATTTAAAAGCAGAAGCCAAATTGCTGTTCAGAAGCGGAATCTGAGTTCACACCCAGCATTTATCATTGATGCTCCCTGAGTCCTTTGGGGAAATGAAAGAGAACAGCATCAAGTAAAGTTGAGGCATACAGAGAAATGGATGAGATAATGGGATGAATTAATCAGGCTGATCTTAATAGCAATCTGAGCTAGTGCTCCTCATCCCAACTTTCAGATTGGCCTCTTGAATGGTTTTGGTTTGAAGTCCTGTAGCCCTTAACCTTTCACTTTGACTTGTTCATCCGACCTTTCAGTTTTGCATGGAGGAAGATTAAATAAACTGGACAGGAATCAGTAACTCCAGAATGAAGGAACAGGAATATTTTCTCTTACAGATTATAATTTTATAATAGTTTTAAATTGTTGAATTATTGTTCATTTTGTTCATTGAATTTATTCTCATATTTGTTCTAACTGTTCTTTCTAATCTTTCACAAAATGTTGTAAGCACCTGGAAGCTACAGGAGCCTTTCAAGTAAAATACAATGTTATTTTAAGACAATGTTGGTGATTTTTATCAATTAACTATAGTTCCAAGAGGCATGGAAGAAATTAATGGAATGGTTAGAAGATTCAGAAAAAAACCTGGATTCAGACCTTGAAATTGCTAATGATCCGGACAAGGTGAAAATGCAACTTGCAAACCACAAGGTAACATATACCTCAGTTATTTTGTTATAGATGCAAAAGTACCTCTCTTCCACACACACACACACACACACGCGAGATATTAAACCAACTCATTAAGCAATACCTAAAAGTAGATGATATAGGCATTATCACATTATTGTTTTTGGGAGCTTGTTGTGAGCTAACTGGCCGCTGTATTTCCCACATTAAATCAGTGACTGCAATTTAAGAGTACTACATTGGCTGTAAAGTGTTTACGGTGAGTTGAGGTTGTGACAAAGCTATATAAATACAAGTTTTTCTACATTAAGAAGCTATCTTATTACTCCTCCTTTTCCTAAGCTCAAATAAAAATAACTTGCATTCGTAATGTACTTTTCATGTCTTCAAGACGCTGCCAACAACCAATGGATTACTCTATAGTTGGAATATATGGCACCCTGATCCCACTAATCCCATTGAAGCTGTGTGTAACATTAGTTAAACCACAGCTACAGTAGTGTGCAGTTCTGGTCACCACGCTATGGGAAGGATGTGATTACATGAGAGAGGGTGCAGAGGTGATTCACCAGGATGTTGCCTAGGCTAGAGCAATTCAGCTATCAAGATGGACTAGATAGACTGGGTTTATTTTCCTCAGAGCAGAGAAAGCTGAGGGGCTTACTTGATAAAGGTGCACAAAGTTCCAAGGGGCATTGACAGGGTAGACCGGGAGAAGGATTTCCCCTTAGTAGAGGTGTCAGTAACCATGAGATAGTTTTAAGGTAAGAAGTAGGAGGTTTAGAGGGGATTTGAGGAAAAACTTTTCACCAGGGTGTTATGAGTATTTGAAACTAACTGCCTGAAAGGGTGGTAGAGATAGGAACCCTCAAGACATTTAAGAACCATTTATATGAGTGCTTGAAATGGCATAACTTACAAGGTTAAGGGCCAGTGGGAGTGCTGGAAAATGGGAGTATAATAGATGGATGTTAGACGATATGGGCTGAAGGGCCTCTTCCATGCTTTAAAAACTCTAACACTGATTAACATTATAGTTTTGAATTTCTAGGAAGAAATTTCAGAATGTAATTCCTATTTCAGAGATTTTTGGACTGCTAACTCAAAAGAATAAGGGACAATTAACCTTAATCTATGAATAGTAGCTGCAAAGAATAATTTAAGTAAATTAGCTGCCTTGGAGTGTTTAACCATTTAATAAAGCCTTTTATTGATTTATCTGTTACCAAACACAGGAGTTCCAGAAAGCGCTAGGAGCAAAACATTCAGTGTACGACACTACAGTAAGAACTGGTCGCTCTTTAAAAGAGAAGACAACTTTGGCTGATGACCACCAGAAGCTCGATGACATGTTGAGTGAGCTGAGGGATAAGTGGGACACGGTGTGTGGAAAGTCAGTGGAAAGGTAACAAAGTTAATTCAAAAGGTTTTGAACTGTAAGAAAGTTGTACTTTTTGAATCTGGCAACAATGTAAAAGTAATTCATTAGTTTGTCTCCGAGACAAAGAGTAAATGACAGTGGAAATGATTTACTCCCGAGCACACCCTGAACAAATACTTGAACATGATAACTGTTACTGTTGGCACGCAGATGTTCAGTACAGAGTTTGGATGTGAATTGCCAAATACTGCAGTTTTGAACCATGTCTTTACTTTTCTGCTTACTTTGATTTCCTTCTCTTGCTTCAATAATTTGCTATGAAAATACAGTTTTATTTTGAAGTTCCAAAGGTGAGAAAATCTGATATCTCTGAGCTCTGACTTTATGCACCATTATATTGTTATGTGCCTCAAGACTTAACAACATAGGAGACTTCCCAATGAATTATGACCACAAATATCTAAATTCAGCACAAGGTTTAGGTCTGACTTTGAAACCTCCCCTTCAAAATAAAAATACTTCAGCGCCTGCAAGTTGAATCTTTGATCTAGTCAACATGTGGTTGGCAGAATGATGGATTTGTCTGAGATCTTTGGTGATTTACTGGGAAGATTAGCATTGTCCGATTTGTAGACCATCTATTCCTGCACGTTTGGAAGGTCGTTAGTTAACCCCCTGGTGCTTGACCAGCAATCCATGTTGTCCTTGTACACTGTGACAGTCTGTCATACTATCTGTTTACAGCTCCTTTGGGAAGAAATTCCATTGTGGAAGTACAAGAAAATTGAATTATCTAATCATGAGCACAGTAGGGATTGTTTATAATGAGGCAAAAATGTTTGGACCATTAAGGAGGATTATAATGTTTTGCATTGGAAGACAATAAATAGAATTAACCAAAGATGTCCTGTTGTGATAATTGTTGGAGTATTATCTCTCATGCATATGTGTATAAAAGTGCTAGTTTAGAAGAGACATTACCAATATATCTTGAGTTTTCTCTGGAAATTAAATTTCACGAATGTAATTGAGCTACATCTAGGGTAAAACCAGTTGGCTTAGTTACACAGCTGTGGTTCAAATCTGGTAACAAAGATACAAAGGCGTCAAAATTTTTAAAAATCCATTTCTCTCTCTGCAGCTATATTTAGATCCTAAGCCCATTTTCCTCATTTGGCCCCAGTATTTGCAGTCTATAATACTGCAATTTTAATGATTAGCTGATAGTTTTCAAAGCAATTCATAAACTGAATTATGTAGAAAGCTTTTTTTTTAAAACATTCACTTTACATCTTTATTACTTTAAGTCATAACTAAAGATTTCAAACAGTGTTCTTAATGAAACAGTCAGCCAGTCAAGTGATCAGATTAAAGCTTTGAGCATATCTTGATGTCTGCTATTGTTTCTGATGAAAATGATTTTCAGGGTTTTTTGGTAGTGTTTTTTGTTTTATTCTGTGCCAGCAGGGAGTAGATTGCTGGGAAATTTGCTGGATGCTCCTAGGAGTCAGCTTATGGAACAAGGGCTACAGTTTAAATATAACCTCAAATGCAACCTCTTGACATCCAAGAATAATCAAGCATTACTGATATACGGCTGTTGGCCAGTAGGTCCGTCAAGCCTACTTCACAAACTATAATGGTTTGAGCATCCTGACTGAACACTTTGTTCCACGTGTATGGAATGAACTGCGAAAGGAAGTGGTGGAAGCTGGTACAATTACAGCATTTAAAAGGCATCTGGATGGGTATGAATAGGAAGGGTTTAGAGGAATATGGGCCAAATGCTGGCAAATGGGACGAGATTAATTTAGGGTATCTGGTCGGCATGAACGAGTTGGACTGAAGCGTCTGTTTCTGTGCTGTAGATGTCTATGACTCTCTGACACACATCCAGCAGCCATATAATTGGCCAGGACATTGATGAATGTGTCATTTGGCCACGGAACTGATGAGTTTGTGCGGAGGGCACTGATATCAAGGGTCAGTTAGTGTTCCTCCAGATTTCAGCTTTCATGTTTAACTAACTCCTTGTGTTACTAAACTTTTTTGTGGGTGGGGCCGGCGGTTTGCAGGATAATGGAATGCAGCTGAAATCTCATCTCATTTCTTCCTGACTGGACAAACAATCTGTTAAGAGCAGCATTTAGTGACTTGAGAGCTTCTCATCATAGGGACATAACAACTCATTTCAAACAGAACTGAAGTAGTTAATTTTAGACTGCCTGCCTAACAGCCAGAGGTACTGTCAGAGATTTAAAGATTAGATTCTCCTTTGTCTCTTCTGTCCCTACCATCACCACTCCCACTCCTCATTCTGACTTTGTGTTGTGCAAGTAGATTTCCACCAAAAGCATTTATTGCAGTTAGTTAATTCTTTAAAAATGAGCTGGGTGAATATTTGAATAAAATTGAAATTAAGGTAATAAAGTTAAGGATGGGCATTAATATAAGTAATGGTTAAAGATGTAGACGTTCAGTGTCTGTTTGTGCCATGGACATTTGTCTGTCCAGTGTAACTCATCAGAATAATTTAGTTGTGTTGTTGCCACTGGGTGTGTTAGTCATGTAAAAATGTTGGTGTGTTATCTTAAGGTGCACTTAGCGACACTGGAGGATGTCCCTGATGGCAGGCTGCATTCTGCTTGGTCTGTTAATAAAAGTGTTTGTCCACTTTGCTGCAAATTGTTAACATGCCCTTGGATCCTGTTTCTAGGATTCATTTGAGTGAAACCTCTTTGCATCCAAGTTCATAGATCACAAACTCAGAGATTTAATGTCACTGGATGGCAGGCTCCCATCAAAGTTTCACAGTGGAAATCATTGTTTTAATATTGACAGTTACTGTGAATCTTACTTGCCTTTTAGTTTTTCCACCCAATCTGTAAAGCTTGAGTAACTGGCTCAGTTTAAATGAAGTCTTGAGTACCATTCATGTCTTGACTGGGGCATCCATGTGTATTGCATTATGTTTTATTTTTCCAAGATTCTGTCCTGAAACTGCTGACTGATGCTGTCACTGCCATATGTCCGTGCACATCACATGGTCCACTGAGAGTTCAAAATCAAGCCAGTTGATGTTTCATGCTCTTGGATGTATCTAGTTATCAAAAAAAAAGTTCAGATCAAGGATCGGTGCTGGGTCCACTGCTTTATGTCATTTATACAAATGATTTGGATGTGAATATAGGGCACATGGTTAGTAAATTTGCAGTAAATTTGTCAGTAAATATCAAAATTGGAGGTGTAGTGGACAACGAAGAAGGTTACCTCAGAGTACAACGGGACCTTGATCAGATGGGCCAATGGACCAAGGAGTGGCAATGGAGTTTAATTTAGATAAATGTGAGGTGCTATGTTTTGGAAAGGCACATCAGAGCAGGACTTACACACTTAATGGTAAGATCCTGAGGAGTGTTGCCAAACAAAGAGACTTTGGTGTGTGGGTTCATAGTTGCTTGAAAGCGGAATCGCAGGTAGATAGGATAGTGAAGAATGTGTTTAGTACGCTAGCCTTTATTGGCCAGTGCATTGAGTATCGGAGTTGGGAGGTCATATTGCGGCTGTACAGGACATTAGTTAGGCCACTTTTGGAATAATGCATTCATTTCTAATCTCCCTGCTATAGGAAAGATGTTGTGAAACTTGAAAGGGTTCAGAAAAGATTTACAAGGATGTTTCCATGGTTGGAGGCCTTTAGCTATAGGGAGAGGCTGAATAGGCTAGGGCTATTTTCCCTGGAGTGTCGGAGACTAAGGGGTGACCATATAGAAGTTTATAAAATCATGATGGGCATGGGTAGGATGAATAATCAAGGTCTTTTCCCTAGGATAGGGGAGTCCAAAACTAGATGGCATAGGTTTAAGGTGAGAGGGGAAAGATTTCAAAGGGACCTAAGCAGCAACTTTTTCATGCAGAGGATGGTTCTTTTATGGAATGAACTGCCAGAGGAAGTGGTGGAAGCTGGTACAATTACAACATTTAAAAGACGTTTGAATGGGTACATGAATAGGAAGGGTTTAGAGGGATACGTGCCAAGTGCTGGCAAATGGGACTAGGTTAAGATATCTTGTCAGCATGGATAAGTTGGACTGAAGGGTCTGTTTCCATGCTGTATATCTCTGTGACTCTATCTTATCCTGTAATTATTTTTCTGCTAGGCTTCCACTCCACACTTTTTAAAATTATTTGTTCGCTGGATGTGGCTGCCACTGACTGGTCTAGCATTTATTGCCTATCCCTGATTGCTCTGGTGAAAGTAGTGGTGATGGACTGGTAATTGGCCAGGTTTGATTTGTCCTACTTGTGGAGGGCAAGAAAGAACTTAGCAGTTTCCCACATTGCTAGGTGGATGCCAGTGTTGTAACTGTTCTGGAACATCTTCGCTAGGGACAAAAGTCTTTAGTCCTTTTGCAAGAATATTGTCATGTTCCATACGCTTTGCAGTATCTAGCACCTTCAATCATTTGTTGTTATCACGTGGAGTAAATTGAATTAGCTGAAGACTGGCATCTAAGATGCCAGGATCTCAGGAGATGGCTGAGATGGATCATCTTCTCAGTCCTCTGGGTTAAGGTGATTTCAAATGCTTCAGCCTTATCTTTTGCACTGATATGGTGGGCTCCCCCTTCGTTCTGTTTTTCTTTTTAAACTTAAGTCTGTTTACTGATTTCATTTCCTTCTTTTATCTGTCCTTTACCTACCATTCTTGCATTTCTTTGTTCTCAATTTTTTTCATGCACTAAGGTTGTGTGGAGTGAGATAGTTTTCCCTTGACTTGGATGTTCCCAACCTAGTTAACTCAGCAAAGATCCAACCCACACTCCTAACATTGTATCAGAGGCAGTCAGACACAGGTTTGAAAGTTAGTAACAGAATGATGGTGCCAGTTAAGATGGAGCTGCAAGAGAGGTGTAAGTGGTTTAGGGTAGGAGATTACGAAACTGGTGCTGTTGCATTGGGAGTGGGAAGGAATTTTGTCACCTGCATGTTTCTGTCTTTGCTGTGCTGCATTTAGGCTGTTCTAATTGGTTTTCAGACAGTCAGCCCTGAGGACATAGTGTGAGCAGATGTGCTGCCATTTGATTCGGGAGAGGAGATGACATGGGTTCAAAGCTATTGAACTGGTGTCTTGGAGAGGGAAAAATATCAAAGGAATTGAGAGAACAAATGATGACATTGGCCAGTGAATGAGTGATTTGAGTTTCTAATTTGTTTGTGTTATTTCTATGATGTCTTTTGCTCCAATAGTAGAATGAATGAAAAACTGTCAAATGGCATCATAGTTTAATCACAAAAATGCAAATTTAAATGATTCTACACAATTAGTCCTGGGATCTGATTGGCCTCTGGTGACTTAGTAGTGATTGGTTGAATGGATACTGGTCTCTGCAATTGATTAGCCAATTTCTGCCATGTCATATGTTAAATAAACACTTTTGTGTGGTTAGTGCAAAGTATCACATACATATGTGCAAAATATTTGAGATTGAATGATGACAAGAGTTAGAAAAAAAAACTATATATGACCCTGCTATATGTAGAAAGTGGAAGTTCTATTGACTTGCATGGTAATAACATGCTGATGTGTCCAACCTGGCAGTGATTAAAATATCTCTCGCCCCTGAGCTTCAAATTCAATTGCTCCCATATTGCTCTGCGTTAACATCACTGGAATGAATTACACAGTGTCATGCTCCTCGCTCATTTTTAAAAAGCAGTGAATTAGTATCTCATTCATAAAATGTTTGCAATTAATGATGCATTGCTGTTTAAAAACCATAAAAACGATGCCAAGTACTTAAAGCTGTTTCCTATTGCTATTGAAGTCAATGTTCTTGAAATGACAGCAGCAAAAGATTTCATGTCCTGTAATGTATATTTTTTCTGGTATTATGAAGTGGTTCATAATAAATACCTACCATAAGACTAATGTTGAATGTTGAGATATGTTGCGTTTGTCTGCTTATTATGAGCTGAAAATCTTATTAACCAAGTCAATTAGATGTCCTTTGGTGAATGCCATGTAGCAGATACACGTTCATAGATAATTGCTGGCTTAAAAAACACAGCTCAGTTATAGATTTGAAAACTGTGCAAAGCTAATTCCATATCCAGAAAATAAATATTGAATATAACAATTGCAGTCTCAATCCCAGCATTTATAAAAGTGTTAAGATTCTTTTCAGTTTATTACTTCTGCTGAATTTTCCCTTTTTTTTCCACTCCTGAGCACAGTAGATGGAGCTTTTGATCTTGGTATGTTGTAAAAATGGGCAATTAATCAAGAGATTAGCCACCTATTACATGTCACAGCTGATTTCATCATTCCAGTGGCAGAGTACAGAACGGACAGGCAGTCTGAAATATTGTGCTCTGTCAACTCAAAAGATCCACCCTGTTTCCAAGTGGGAGTTCTTCATGTGAGTATTTCCACGACCCTGGAGCCTGTACTTGATCCCCACTCGCCCTGGATGCTCACTTTCCAACAAGGGCTACTTCAGACAATTTTCAATCCTGAAACCTCATTCTCAGCTCCTAATCACGGTGACTAATTCTGATATCTCACCTTCCTGCCTGACTGAGTTATTCTCACAATGCAGACTGGAGCTAGATTTTTAGATACTCCTGGCTTGTGATGTTCGGTGTACTGCTTGGCCAATGTCCTTTGGACACTGACCCATTAGGAAGCCCCCAGTGAGATTTTTAACTTGCATCAGTCCTGACCTGTTTACATTTCTTAGCAAATATTTTTGAAGGCATGTTGTGAGTGGTGCTGGAGGTAATAGGAGTAGATTTTCAAATTAGCAAGCCAAGCTTCCTGTCTGCGGTTTTAAGTTTGAAGAAGATTCAGCTGTGTCTGTCACTGCCTAATCCTAGTGTATAATTTCTGCCTTTCCATTTCAGACAGAACAAATTGGAGGAAGCATTGCTGTTCTCCGGCCAGTTTACAGATGCCTTGCAAGCTCTGATCGATTGGCTATACAAGATTGAGCCCATGCTGGCTGAAGATCAGCCAGTGCACGGGGACATCGACCTGGTGATGAACCTGATTGATGCTCACAAGGTATTGGGATCTGTTTCTGTCAGTGTTACACTGAGAAGTACTCTCCCTCATTCTTCTCCCCACCTCCTTACATCCTCCCCAACCAAGCCTCACAACATCCCTTAGCAACTGTCTGAATTAATCTATCAAAAATAACTTACAGAATCCAGATTTCCTTGAGTGACTTATCGTACTTCATTCAGCAAGTTAATTTGTTGATTGCTTGTAGAAATGTCTGTCTGCCAAACTTGAGAATTCAGTTGCTGCTCAAAGTACAGCTGGTACTTTGAGATATTCTGAATAAATTAAATTTATCTGTGGACTTGCATCAAATCTGATTTTAGATCTTTTAAAACATGCTATTTTTAGAAAAGACAGTAAGTCTCATGTCTGTATTTTTAAAAATCAACCTTGAAATTCTAATCATGTCAGCTCAAAGGATAGAAGCTGTGAATGGCAGAAACATCTGTGAATAAGGACACTATTTCCCTCATTACTTCACCCTCCCCAGCACTCCTCCCCTACACCCAACATTAGGGTGGATCATGTGGAAAATCTCTCTGCACAGCTGTCCATTGCTTTTGTTTGAATAATGATGTGGAGGTGCTGGTGTCGGCCTGGGGTGGACAAGGTCAGATGTCACACGACACCAGGTCATTGTCCAACAGGTTTATTTGAAATCACAAGCTTTTGAAGCACTGCCCCTTCATCAGGTGAGGTTGGTGACTTCACCAGACGAAGGAGCAGCGCTCCAAAAGCTTGTGATTTCAAATAAACCTTTTGGACAATAACCTGGTGTTGTGTGACATTTGACCTCGTCTAAATAAAGCAACACTTGTCAGCATTATGTGATTGTTAATTAATAATTGTTAAATAAACAACATGATCGTTTATTCAGGGACTACACAGTTGAAGAGGACAGGAGGAGGTCATTTGTTAATATTTTCACAGAGCAGAAGGATTACAATATTCATACTTCTGTCTTTATTTTGGTTTTAATACAAGTACCATAAATAACCGATTCCCAGTTAAATTTGATAAAGCCTTTTCATTATGACAAAACTGTGCATTTACCTGGCTACTTAAACATAGTTAAGGATGCAGGTCAATTTCACATGAGTGATTTGGAAAGAAAATTCAGTGAGCCATATATGATGTGAGGACAGGTGACCATAAGCTTTGTCTAAGTGATAGGTTTTTATGCTTCCTTGAGAATAAGTGACACATGAAATGCAGAGGCTTGGGCAGGTCATTTAAGTTTAATGCCCAGTCACCTTTTTCAACAAAAAAGGCCACCAGCAGTGTGGCAATTAGAATTAGGGATGCACAAGATGCCCGCATTCAAGGAACACAGCGATTCTGAAGGATTGAGGAGCTAAAGTGGGTTACAGGGACACGGAGACAAAGGCCATGCGAGATTTGATAACAAGAGTAGGAAGTTTGAAATGAGAACAGTTCATAGATTCTTGAAAATTTTCTTTGTGTTTTATATCACAGTCTTAATGAATAACCTGTTCTCCTGTGTTGAAATCCAGGAAGCATTGTTGTGGGTTTTAAGTAGGGAGAGAACAAAGGCAGCCAATACAGAATATGGCATTGAAGGGCTAGTTAAGGTGAATAGCATAGCTGCCTTTATGGAGAAATAAGGCAAATAAATGAGGAAGAATGAATAGGAGGATAAATTTCTGGAGTTTATATGGAGCACAATGTGTGGCTTGGATTTGTTGGCCGAATGGCCTATTTCTATGCTGTAATTGTTATGTCATTCATTCACATTTCATTGATATCCATGTTGACTTGGGGCACTTCGGTGTGTTGTTTTTCACACACCACGTATGCATTTGTTTCCGGTGATGTTCAGTGATTGTCGTCGGCCTCATTGCGCTGTCAACCCGTGTAGGGTGTTCACTCATGTAGAACCTGTCTGAGTGTAAAACAATGGGATTGTTTTCTGTGCAGGTCTTCCAGAAGGAATTGGGCAAACGGACCAGCGGTGTCCAAGCCCTCAAACGCTCTGCCCGTGAACTGGTGGATGCCAGCCGTGATGATTCCTCCTGGGTCAAGGTGCAGATGCAAGAGCTCAGTACTCGCTGGGAAACTGTCTGTGCCCTCTCTGTCTCCAAGCAAGCCCGACTAGAACAAGCCCTGAACCAGGTAAAAGATTATATTCTCTATGTGAACACGAATGTAAAGGAAAATGGAGCTCTCCATTTTATCAATGTTGTTTTGCCCTTCTGAACACGCAGTACTTTCATTATTGCAAAATCACCCTGAGTGCGTCAGCCAGATTGAGTGCAGGTACCTAACATCGATGTGCCTCATTGGGTGGAGGTGAGATATGGCGATCTGGGGCTGTGGATGTGGAAGTGTGTGGGGTGTGGTGCCATCTTGGAATGTGTCTGATAGTGGGATGTACGTGTGTGTGTGTGTACGTACTTGCACACTTCTGTTGGGAATCATGGAATGACCGCACTTGAATTAGAATCTCCTGGCACACAAGGAGGTCATTTTGCCCATCATACCTGTTCTGGCTGTCTCCAAGAACCATTTGAGCCAACCTGGCTTGCACTTACTATCTCCCACACCCAGATCCATAAACATGCACCAACTCCAAGACGCACACCCCAAATCTAGACACATGCTCAGGCCACACCAGACACGCACACAAAACTCCAGTCAGTCTTGGGTGATTTTTATTTTATTTTTTACCTAAAAAGATCACCAAGGATAACTGAGACAACAAGGTGCAGGGCTGGATGAACACAGCAGGCCGAGCAGCATCATAGGAGCAGAAAGGCTGACGTTTCGGGCCTAGACCCTTCATCAGAAAAGGGGGAGGGGAAGGGGGTTCTGAAATAAATAGGGAGAGAGTGGGAGGCGGATAGAAGATGGATAGAGGAGAGGATAGGTGGAGAGGAAACAAACAGGTCGAAGAGGCGGGGATGGGGCCAGTAAAGGTGAGTGTAGGTGGGGAGTTAGGGAGGGGATAGGTCAGTCCAGGGAGGACGGACAGGTCAAGGGGGCGGGATGAGGTTGGTCGGTAGGAGATGGGGATGCGGCTTGAGGTGGGAGGAGGGGATAGGTGGGAGGAAGAACAGGTTAGGGAGGCGGGGACGAGCTGGACTGGTTTTGGGATGCGGTAGGGGGAGGGGAGATTTTGAAGCTTGTGAAATCCACATTGATACCATTGGGCTGCAGGGTTCCCAAGCGGAATATGAGTTGCTGTTCCTGCAACCTTTGGGTGGCATCATTGTGGCACTGCAGGAGGCCCAGGATGGACATGTCGTCTGAGGAATGGGAGGGGGAGTTGAAATGGTTCGCGACTGGGAGGTGCAGTTGTTTATTGCGAACCGAGTGTAGGTGTTCTGCAAAGCGGTCCCCAAGCCTCCGCTTGGTTTCCCCGATGTAGAGGAAGCCACACCGGGTACAGCGGATGCAGTATACCACATTGGCAGATGTGCAGGTGAACATCTGCTTGATGTGGAAAGTCTTCTTGGGGCCTGGGATGGGGGTGAGGGAGGAGGTGTAAGGGCAGGTGTAGCACTTCCTGCGGTTGCAGGGAAAAGTGCCGGGTGTGGTGGAGCTGGAGGGGAGTGTGGAGCGGACAAGGGAGTCACGGAGAGAGTTGTCCCTCCGGAAAGCAGATAAGGGTGGGGAGGGAAAGATGTCTTTGGTGGTGGGGTCGGATTGCAGATGGCGGAAGTGTCGGAGGATGATGCGTTGGATCCGGAGGTTGGTGGGGTGGTACGTGAGGACGAGGGGGATTCTTTTTTGGTTCTTATTGCGTGGACGGGGTGTGAGGGATGAGTTGCGGGAGATGTGGGAGACACGGTTGAGGGCGTTCTCGACCACTGAGGCGGGGAAGTTACGGTCCTTGAAAAACAAGGACAACTGAGATGTACGGGAGTGGAATGCCTCATCCTGGGAGCAAATGCGGCGGAGGCGAAGGAATTGGGAATAGGGGATAACATTTTTGCAGGAAGGTGGGTGGGAGGAGGAGTATTCTAGGTAGCTGTGGGAGTCAGTGGGCTTGAAATGAATATTGGTTTCTAGGTGTCTCCATATCGGGTAAAACACTTCACTAACACCTTCTACCCCAACCTTAAGTTTACCTGGACCATCTCTAACACCTCTCTCCCCTTCCTGGACCTCTCTGTCTCCATATCGGGCAAAACTGTGGATTTCACAAGCTTCAAAATCTCCCCTCCCCCTACCGCATCCCAAAACCAGTCCAGTTCGTCCCCGCCTCCCTAACCTGTTCTTCCTCCCACCTATCCCCTCCTCCCACCTCAAGCCGCACCCCCATCTCCTACCAACTAACCTCATCCCGCCCCTTGACCTGTCCGTCCTCCCTGGACTGACCTATCCCCTCCCTAACTCCCCACCTACACTCACCTTTACTGGCCCCGTCCCCGCCTTTTCGACCTGTTTGTTTCCTCTCCACCTATCCTCTCCTCTATCCGTCTTCTATCCGCCTCCCACTCTCTCCCTATTTTATTTCAGAACCCCCTTCCCCTCCCCCTTTTCTGACGAAGTGTCTAGGCCCGAAACGTCAGCCTTTCTGCTCCTATGATGCTGCTCGGCCTGCTGTGTTCATCCAGCCCTGCACCTTGTTGTCTCGGATTCTCCAGCATCTGCAGTTCCTACTATCTCTGAACCAAGGATAACTGTCAGACCCAAACTGCCCAAGACTAACTAATGCCAGCATAGTCCAAGGAGCGACCCTCAGATCTTTCTCAAAGTTTCACAGTGCATTTAATCACCTGAGCCTTCAACCAACTCTCAGTATTCAGGCTGAAGCAAGCTTTCTTGAAACTCATTTATTTTTCTTTTCTCCTGCTCTTGTTCAAAATTGAAATAACTTAAAAGTCCATATTATCCTCTGGCTGCCAAGTTGTGACTGGTCTGACAGATATATGTTGTACTTACAGGCTGAGGAATTCCACTCTGCGGTGCATGTGTTGCTAGAATGGTTGGCTGAAGCCGAACAGACCCTTCGTTTCCATGGCGTTCTTCCAGATGATGATGAGGCCCTGCGTGCGCTTATAGAACAGCACAAGGTAGGCAAGAAGTTGGAAATAGTTTTTTAAAATGATTCATACCGTATAATTCTTAATGGGCGTGAATAACAGAGAGCACACTGCGTTTAGATTTTGGAGCAAATAAAGTTGCAAATATGATTTAAATTACTGCTGCCGGAAAATTTGTGTATAGCTCAATGATTGCAAGGTTTTCAGGGACATAGCTTATGTCAAATAATACTTGGGGAAGGTGTCGGTGGTAATAGATGCGGGAGGGTTTGCAAGGGCATAATCCAGAAAATCCTATTGGCAGTAGGCCTACCTTGTACAATCTGGGTTGGGAACAATTGTTTCATTGGCATGGCATTTTGACATCTTTAACTCTGTGGTTTGCAGCAATCTTTCACTCATGGATAGGATGTCATTAGATGTTCCCTGAATTACCTTTCAGTTCCCATTTTCTCACTTTCTGTCCTGTTGCCTTATTCTGGCACTCCACACTCGCGCCACCACCCCTCTACGCCCTCCCCCCCCCACCGACACACACACCTTGGTACCTTATTTATGGACATAGAGCGTGAGAGTGTGACTGTTAGCAGAGAAGCAAAGTCTGAGGGATATTGTTCTGAGCTCCATTTACTGAATAGCATTAGATGAATTGGGGGAAAAAAACAAAAGAACTGCAGATGCTGGAAATCAGAAACAAAAACCGAAATTGCTGGTAAAACTCAGCAGGTCTGGCAGCAGCTCTAAAGAGAAAGCAGAGTTAACGTTTCGGGTCCAATGACTTTTTCAGAACAGTTCTGAAGAAGGATCTCTGGACCTGATATGTTAACTCTGCTTTCTCTCCATGAGATGAATTAGCTCCACACTCTGCCAGCAAATAGCATATGGTTCTGGTCAACAATATGATGTGCTGGAAGGTAGGTGAGAGGGGAGGGATTTAAGCATTTATGAAAAATAAAGCATGATTTAATTTTTTAAATTCAGGTTTCTTGAGGGTTGAGCTATTGTTTTATATGATACTTGAATGCATGTTAGATAAAGAGGATCTCTGACAAGGAGCAATGTATGACAGGATTTGATGCATTTATGTAACCCATTATGTCCTAAGTTAGGTTTTGAGTGAATTTCAGTTTGGAACACATGCTGTATTCTGTTTATTTTCAAGATCAATATTATGGAGTGAAGGTGGATGTAAATGATTGTTTTCACAGTAAGCTATGGGTCCCTATTTGGTTCTAATAATATAAGAAGTCCATGAAATATTTCATTGAGACAACAAAGGGGCATTTTAACCCCAAAAAACACATGGATATTGGATGGATGGAATATAATTTGATCAAAGTCTGAAACCAACCATACCATCCCCGATTCAGTTTTGGTGAAGGCAGTATAGGAGTTGAGTGACCACCCCAGTCCAAGACCGTGGTCCCTGTTTATATTCATGATTTAAAATTCAATATTGGCCTTGGGGAAACCCACCCACTAAAGCAAAACAAAGGACTTTTGGATCAGGAGTCAAGGACTGAATTCATTGAGCCAGTCTGGCCAGTACCCTGTGATTGTCTATCTCAACCAATCCCCCAGCCTCAACCTCCATGACTCTTCTAATCTCCTTCTGATCTGCCCAGGGCTTTGACGTACTCCTCCCCTCATCGTCCCAAAAGGCCTCCATTACACCTGAACCTCCAACTTTATTCCCGACTCCATGTCCCTGTACCCTCCCAAATAACCCACTTGGGACGTGACCATAACTGATCCAATGTGGTCTCATCGAAGCCCTGTATAACTGAAATAAGACGTATTTCTGACCCAATTTCTGAGCTCAAAGCCTCTTGCTATTGTGGCCAATGTACCATTACCTTCCTAATTATTTGCTATACCTGCCTGCCTACTTCCACTGACTGGAGAACAAGGACACCCATATTGCTCTGTACATCCAAATTTCCCAATATGTCACCTTTTAAACAATGCTCTGCCTTTCTGTTTTTCAAATACTGAAAATCTGAAATGAAGGCAAAAAAATTGAAAATCTGAAGTAAAAACCAAAAATGTTGGTCATGAAGCATCTTTGGAGATAATATCAGAGTTTACAAGAGATGGAGGAATTGAAACAGAATCTTCGCAAGATGCAGATGAGAAGTGTAATCAGGGTACCCTTGTGAGTTAGTAGTTGAAGAGTAGTTATTGTTTGTCAGTCTATTCCAAGAAATGGAGTTTGGGAAGTTGGGGAAGAGAAGAGTAGGAGGCAAACCATGTGAAGTTGAGGAAGTGTGGAAAATGAAAGCAAAGTTGATGAAATTTTGCTAGAATGGGAAGTGATACCAATGCATTCATCAAAGTGCAGGTGTGAAAGGAATAGGACTGGAATAAGAAATGTTCCATGATCTAACACCAAAGTATTAGGCGTAGCCAGGAGCTATACTCATTCCCATGTGTTTCTATTCCGGCAGATTCTGCCCAACTTGAGCATTTGCGACATTTTCTTTTGCTTTCTCTTTGTTTACATTGAGGATGGAGTGGACCAGTGGAATTTGTTCAGTACTTTTTAATGCCTGAGATGGATTTGTTTTAGAATCCAGCACCCTTGTGCCTGCTGGTAATCAAATCTATCTTTCATTTAATCTTTTGGAAGTTCTCAGAAGTGAGAAGGTGGAGTCACGTGAAGTTTGCAATATTTCCAGAAAGAATATTTGATTTAATAAAATAGTGCCTTATTAGCCCATGTGACAAGATGCATCACTCTTCTTGATGCCAAATTTCTGCATGTTGCTCTGGAGGGGGCAGAGCTGAGAATGTCACTGGCTCATTGATTTGTGAAAGTAAAAGTGAGCAAATTAGACAATCTTACAGCAACTCGCTTGAGTTTTGATCTGATTTGGCAGAAATTGGTTAATTACGTGGTTGTTAAATTTTTAAAACCTGAATGAGCTTGGATTGCTCTTTTTCTGAAGAAGTTGCCAAGCAATTCACCAAGTCAGATCACAGCACGTGGTGCAACAAAATTGAGAATTACTGTGTGCTCCTGCATGTTACTCGTAATGGGTTATGATTTGCACTGAACACAGCATCAGAGAAACTTGAGGCACAAAAGAATGCCATTTGGCCCATAGCGCCTCTGCTAGTATTAATCCTGAAGGTAATTAAGACCCACAGCTAGAAGAGTGAAGTGAATAAAGACTGACGAACAAGGGAGGTGTTGGCCTAGTCGTATTATCACTAAACTATTAATCCAAAAACTTAGCTACTGTTCTGGAGGCCTGGGTTTGAATCCCACTACAGCAATTGGTGGATTTTGAATCCAATTTAAGTAAAATGTAAAGACTGACAGGGGCAGACGTTTACGTGGGGAAAAATAATTGTTGGAATTGTTGGTGTGTGAGTTAGAATAAGGCATAGATTCAAGTCCCCCACCAGTTGCAGAGGTGTTTGATAACTTTCTGAACAAGTTGATTAGAAAATATAGAAACCTGCAATAGAGACTGATAGAGGGCTCTTGCGACACGGTGGTAGTGTCTGTACCCCTGGATAAGGACGGCTGAGTTCAAGTCCTGCCTGTATTAACATATCTGAACAGGTTCATTAGAAAGTATAAAGACCGACAGTAAAATAAAGAAATGCTTGCACTTATTTAGACCACTTCACAACCTCATGACATCCCAAAGAGCTTCACAAAGACCACCTGGCATTGACCTAGATACCTGAAAAGACAACAGCAGAAACAGCCCTATGGACTCTTGCAAAGTCCTCCTTAGGAACACCTGGGGGCTTGTGCCACATTAGGAAAGCTGTCGCACAGACTACTCAAGCAACAGCCTGATACAGTCATACTCATAGAACCATACCTGACAGGCAAAGTCCCAGGCACCACACTGACCATTGAATCTCTACAGTGTGAAAGCAGGCCATTCAGCCCATCGAGTCCACACATAGAATGGTTTATTGTCTTATTGCAAAGAAGGTTTAGTGCAGCAATCCATATTAACCTAAATGCTCAAACGGCTGGAATGAGTGTATGTCTGCTGAGCCATGGCTGCTATCTTCTGAAGTAAATGGTACAAACCATGAAACGTGTTTCTGAATTTAATCTCCTTATGGAAAGGTTGTTATATATTTTTTCCATAGCATGTTAAACTTGGATCTCAAAGTTATTTTTATTGATGAGTGCATCTGGTGATTTTAAAGTGGATCTTTAATCTGACATCGAGGACTAATTTGATTCTTGCTCATTTTTTTGAAAAAGGAGTTTGCAAGGAAACTGGAAGAGAAGATGATTGAGCTGAATTTAGCAGTGGGCATGGGAGAAGCTATCCTATCTATCTGCCACCCAGACTCTATCACAACCATCAAGCATTGGATCACAATAATCCGAGCCAGATTCGAAGAGGTGATTAACTTGAAATAGAGATGTAATTGAGCAGCTATGTACAGTTTATATCATTTTTAAATGTGACAGAAATGGACTATTCTAGGCTATGAGTCACCAGGCTCTGAATCACCACATTAACTCATTAGCTGCAATTTATCCTTTTGCTATATGTGTATATAACTATGTATGGATTACAGAAATATGTCATTGTGTATAATAAACTGCACATGATATACATGTACTTCAAAGAGAGTTAGATTTTCAGCAGTGGATTTCCTGCCCATTTTACTGCAACCCCCAATCCCACTCTTCAACCATCACTCCAGGTTTATTGCTATATTGTGGCAATCCCAGTTTTTGTAATTTGGGGAGCTGAGCACAATGAATCCCAAGAATTAAGAAAACTTGAAAAGCAAAATGACTGCTCTTCATCTCTTTGTTATCTCACCCTGCGGAATGATGCATCTATGTTTCAAGTTGTAGCCTTCACATTTCCTTTCTCTTTCCCACCCAATTTCTGTGTACTGTTGAGGCCGTTCCAAAACCAGTTGCTTCCAGATGCCTTCCAATGCTGCACTTCGATATGCTGGTATGAGCAGTGAAAGAGTGATGTGAGGTGACTTGACAATTTTATTTTGTTCTGCTCCTTTGCTGAGGAAAGATACCATTCTCTTTATCTTCCTGGTAAGCAGCTAAAGCTGTACAAATCAACACCACAAACAGAAAACTGTAACAGAGGCAAACGGTCCAACTTTGTGGAGAGAAGCAGCCCCCGAACTAAGGGGGCCATGAGAGTGCCTAACGACATAACCACTAATAACTGCAGTGAGAGGTTTTTACATGGCTTGTGGAAGGACAGGGCTGATAATGCCAAATGGTGATTTCCCTTTTGCATTCTTAAACATTAGATTAGATTTCTGAAATCAACCTTTTGGCATATTGATGTTAAAATGCAGTGTGAAAGAGCAAAAATATAAGTACAGCTTTCCAAACTTCAGTGATTTTTTTTTCCTTGCTAATTTTGTTTTCTTGTAAAATTTAAGGTAACTGCATGGGCTAAACAGCATCAACTGCGGCTTGAAGCAGCTCTTGCAGATGTTATTGCTAATCAAGAGTTACTGGAGAGCCTGTTGGGCTGGTTACAGTGGGCAGAGACGATACTCACTCAGAGAGACCAAGAATCACTTCCACAGGAGATCGAAGAAGTCAAAACACTTATTGCCGAGCACCAGGTAATCACTATTGAACTCGGAAGTTGAACTTGTACACTTAATAATATCCAGATATATGTAGCAAAGATGCTAACAATTGATGTAGATTTTACGTGGATGCGACAATGCTGATATCTTCTTCATTTATTACACCAGACAGTTCTTTTAAAATTGCAGACAAGCAGAACTGAGACATGTAGTTCAGAAGTATTAAAGCTTCAAAATGTCCTGCGTGATACAGTGATGCCTATATCCCTGGCATTGGAAAGAGGGAGAAAAAAATCAGTTGAATGCTTACATATGATCATTTTGTTGGTGTGTTTATAACTTCTGTACATCTAATTCAGCTTTGAAATGTTTCATTGATCTTTATTCCATGTGATGAGGTAGACTGGCAGCAATCGCCATTTAGGCTTATATATGAAGACTAGCCTCTTGAATGAGCTAGTGAAGTACAGCTGCTCCCAACCCATTACATGTAACCACACAAACATTGAAAACTGCCAGTGCTGGAAATCTGAAATAAAAGTTCAAAATGCTGAACATTCTGAGCAGGTCAGACAGCATCTATGGAGAGAAATAGAGTTAGAGTTTCAAGTTACTGACCTTGCATCAGAACGGAGGTAAGCTGGAAACGTAATAGGTTTAGAGGTGGTGCAAGATGAGTAAGAACAAAAGGATATGTCTGTGACACAGTGGGTAGCAGATTAAATATAAATGATGCAAAAGCCAAAGATACTGGTGATTGTAAAGAAATAAAAGGGTTGTACAAATGATAAGTGAATAGTTGTGTAGTTTGTTGCATTTGATTCGCTGTCACTTTGTAAGTTCAGGAATGGAAAAGTAAGTGTGAAAAAAGCAACAACAAAAAATACAAAACAAAATCAAAGCAGAGGTTATAATCTAAAATTATTAAACCTAACAATGAACTCCAAAGGTTGCAGAAAGCAGAGTGGAAAGATGAGGAGCTGTTCATCAGATTTTCCTTGAGGTCCAGTGGAACATGGTAGCACGCTAAGGACAGAAAGGTCAGAGAGGGAGCAAGGTGGTAGATTGAAATGACAAGCAATTAGGAGCTCATGGTCATGCTTGCGACTGATGAGAGGTATTCCCCAAACCGGTCACCCAGTCTACACTTCCTTTGTTCAATGCAGAAAAGATTAATGAGCAATGAACGCAAAAGTGAATGGATTAAAAGAAGTACAAAAAAACTGCTGTCTTGGACATTGAGAAGGAAAGGTGTAAATGTATAGATGTTGCATCTCCTACGCTTGCATGCAAAATGTGCTATAAGAAAGATGGGTGGAGTGTTACGATGGTTGAGGAGTGGATCAGGGCATTATGGAGGAAAGGATCACTTTGGTTCCTGTAAAGGGAGGGCAGGACACGTTTTGGTGGTTAGATGATGTCAAAGATGAGGCAGATCATCTTTTGATTATGGAGGCTGGTGGGGTGGAATGTGAGGTCAAGGAGAATCCTATCATGGTTCTGAGAGGGAGGGGATTGGATCAGAGCAGAGGTGGATGAAATAGCTTGGACATGTTGGAGAGTCTTATCAAATACTCTGGGGTATTCCTTGGGGGAAGGAAAAACGAAAGACATATCGGAAGTGCTGGTATAGAAGGTTGAATCATCTGAAAACAACAGTGGTGATGGTGATGTTGGGAGAATGGAGTAGAGTCCTTACCCTGAAGCAAGGTGTGAGGAAGTTTACTCAAGGTAGCTGTTGCTGTCAGTAGGCCTGCAGTGAAAATCAATTGCCAACCTATCCCTAGAAATGGAGACAAAAAGGGATAACTTTACCTCCATATAAGAAGAGAGAATTATGGAAAGTGGGGCAAGATTATTTTGCCTCTAATTCCGTCACATTTTAATTAAAATATTTTTAACCCTAGTCTTTCATGGAGGAAATGACCAGAAAGCAGCCAGATGTGGATAAAGTAACAAAAACATACAAGAGGAAAGCTGCAGAACCGACCCAGATTGCATCCCAAATTCCTGTCATTGATAAAGGAAGGTCAAGTAAGTGTTGATCTGATTTTCCATCTAAATAATCTTTTATGTTGTAACATCTGTTCACTTTCAGTGATTTCCATTTTGAGCTTGAGCATAAAATGAACATTGAGCAGTGGGTCAGAATTTTCCTGTCCATTTAACAGTGATGCTGATGGCAAATGAAATTATTTAAATTGTACAGCAACTTCAAACAAGGGGCAGAGACCAGATTAAACATGAGTTGCTATCCCATTTCCTCCAATCTGCCATCAGTTTTGTGAAAACTGTATCTCCCTGTCTGATCATTATAGGAGTGGATTGAATGGCATGCAGTCACTGCATGTATGCAGGAATTGTGAATTCATTTTCTCATGGAAAGTTGAATTATTGTCATTTCATGTCTGAGCACTCTTTCAGTGATTTAATCAATATTCATTATAGCAAACCTCTCTGGCATTGAAAATAAACAATGGCAATTGTGGAGTCTCATTCATTCAGATTTTAATTGTTCCTGATGATTGAAAGAAAGTCATATTTTACAGTCCATCAGTCTGATTGTTTAAGGAGATGCACTGTTGCTTGCCTTGTTCACTCAACTACCAAATACCCAGTCTCTCACTGAGATGTTAGTAATTCACATTTTCAGAATCTTCTCAATAAATTAAAATAACAAAACACACATGGAAAAGCTTCATTAACAGCAGATGGCATTATATACCATACTAGAGGATATCTTGACCCAGTGATGTGAAGATACTGCATATTGGTGCAGAGTTGGGCATGTGTTTGAGGAGAGGTTGATTTCTCAACACGAAAGCAAAATACCACGGACGCTTAAAACTTGAACTTTTGAAATTCTAAGCATCAAAGATCGCAGTCTTCAGCCAATTAGATTCACTCCATCTGATATCAAAGAACTTCCAGTTCTGAGGAAGGGTCACCAGACCCGAAATGTTAACTCTGTTTTCTCCTTCACAGATGCTACCAGACCTGCTGAGCTTTTCCAGCAACTTTGTTTTTGTAACAGGAGTAGGTTGTTTGGCCCTTCAAACCTGCTCCAACATTACTTCTCCTTCTTAGTCAGGCTGTCAAGATCAAAGGTGATCCACCATTTAACAAGATCATGGTTGATCTGGTTATTGTTTCAGCTCCACTTTCTGAACCCCATAATCCTTGATTGCCTTGACTATTAAATATTTGTTCAACTCAGATTTAAATAAACTTAAAGACCAGCCTTCACTATTTACTGGAGAAAAGAATTCCACCCACTTAATAACGTTTTGAGAGGAAAAAATTGTTCTCTTTGCCTTAAAGGGAACTTTTGTATCCTTAAACCATAACCCTTAGTTTTACTCTACCCACAGAGGAAGCATCCTCCTGATAGCTACTGTAAGCAGTCCCCTTAAGATTGTTTATGTTTCAATAGATCACCTCTTATTCTAAACTCCAATGGATATTGAAAGGTAAAGTCACCATAATCTTAACAGAGCATATGGGGGCTGCTCCCTCATTAGAGAGAGACAACTGGTGGCGGTTTAACCTAAGTGTCACCACACCTCAGGTGAAGGTTAGGTTGAGAAGGAGAGTCCTTCAATGATAACCTCAGCTGTGTGTGGGATTTGAATCCACATTGTTGGCATCACTCTGCATTACAAATCTGCCATCCAACCAACTGAACAAACCAATTTTCAATGGAATAGGCTTAACCTGTGCAACCCTTTCTTCATATGAAATGTTCACTCATTCCACCATTGTGCACTGTGGCAGTAATATGTACTGTCTGCAGCAACTCACCAAGGCTCCTTTGGCAGTGAGGAGCATTGCCAGAGGATACAACAGGATAAAGATGGGCTGGAGACTTGGGTGGAGAAATGGTAGGTGGAGTTTAATCTGGACAATGCGATGCATTCTGGGAGACCTAATGCAGTAGGGAAGAATGCAGTAAATGGCAGACTCTTAATAGCATCAACATGCAGAGGGACCTAGGCGTACAGGTCCATAGTTCCCTAAAAGTGGCCACACAAATGGATAAGGTGGTCAAGAAGACATTTGGCATGCTTGCCTTCTTCGGTCAGAGTACAGGGTATAAAAATTGGCAAGTCATGTTGCAGTTGTATAGAACTTTAGTAAGGCCATATTTGGAGCATTATATACAGTTCTCATTGCCAAACTATCAGAAGAATGTGGAGGCTTACGAGAAGGTACAGAAACAGTTTACCAGGATGTTGCCTGGTCTGGAGGGTACTAGCTACGAGGAGTTTTTGGTCAAACTTGGTTTGTTTTCACATGAACATTGACAGGATTTTATAAAATTATGAGAAGCATGAATGGAATGGATAGTCAGAGTCTTTTTCCCAGGGTAGAAATGTCAATTATTAGGGGACATGGGTTTAAGGTAAAAGGGGATAAGTTTGAAGGAGATGTGAGAGACAAGTTTTTTTTACATTGAGCATGGTAGGTGCCTGGAATTCGCTGCCAAAGGAGGTTATGGAGGCAGATACAATAGCAACTTCTAAGAGACATCTTAACAGATGGATGAATAGACAGGGAATAGAGGGATACAAACCGGGTAGAGGCAAAAGGTTTTTGGTTTAGAAAGGCATCATGTGTCAGAACAGCCTTGGTGGGCCAAAGGGCCTTTACCTGTGCTGTGTACTCTTCTTTGTTATTTATCCTTCACTGTTGCTGAGTCAGAATCCCAGAACTCCCTTCTCAATATACGAGTAACTACATAATATGGACTACAGTGGATCAAAAAGTGGCTCACCAGCATCTTGTAAATGGATTTGGGATTAGCAATAAATACTGGCTTTGTGACATTTACATCCCACAAATGAGAAGAAAGAGACATGTCCATGTTGACTGCCCACCCAGGTGCGAGTTAATTACCATGGTTTCTGGTCAAAGTTATAAATCTCTCACATGTGAAATAAATCCTCATTATTTTAGTGTGTAAAACCTTAGGATTTGACTCATTCCTTTAGATCTTGAGTTTAGGAGACTGGAATACAGAAGTGTCACTTAGCTTGTTTTGGCACCGGAATGAGACTAAGAATGAAGAGTTAGTGATTGTATTCCACTATAATTTACATTTTCTATGATCCTAACTTTTATCCTTGGAGCCCAAGGAATGTAATCTGACTTAATTATATTTTAGATTTATTTTTGTCTAACAAAGTAAGGGATATGAATAGTGCTGAATCGAACACTTTCCCTCCCAGCAGTCAGTGATGGTGTGAGGCAGTCTCTGTTCTCTGTCAGTGCAGAAGAGGAATCACTTCACCTTCCTAACAGTACAGGGAATATTCTGATTTCCTCCAAGCAGTGGAATAAGGCAATGCAACAGTTAAATCAAATTAGGAGATTCCGCGTTCTGTTAATTGGAGACCCTATTGAATTGAGTTGACTTGAATTCAATTAGCTTTATTGTCACATGTACTCAAATGAGTACAGTGAAAAGTTTACAGTTGCCGCATTGCAGCGTAATCTTAGGTACAAAAGTACCTAGGTATAGATACCTACTGTCAAATTCTTTGGAAACAAAAACATTTGAAAAATAAAGAAATAAATAGTCCAGCATGAGAGGTGGTAGGAAGAATTTAGAAAAATAAAGAAGTGAAATGTTCAGAATATCAGACTTTCTGACCCTGTCCGTGCTACAGCTAGCCTCAGGGACACCTGCACCATCCTTTTGCTGCTGAGCCCACTCTGCTGATGCCCCAGAACCAAAAGGTCTTGGCTGTGCTGCCAGGCCCAACCGCCTGGCATGCGGCCGCTCTTGCTGACATGCCGGTGCTGCCAACCAACCTCCCACAGAAAAGAAGAAAAAGAATACCAAAAGGAAAATAAGGTGAAAGAAAAGAGCAGAAGCAGAAGTAAAACAAAGGAGGAAAGCAGGTAGGAACGGATTTGCACAGGGCAAGAGCCCGCCCGCAGCCCTGTAACTCCACTGCCATCTTGCACTGGATGTTGCATAGTTGAAACCCTGTATTGATAAAGCCTTTATTATTAATTGAATTATACATTCCTGATGGTTTTAGGAATTATATGACGTGCACAAATGAACTTGTGTACAATAGTGAAATACTGTAAATGCTAGAGACCTGGAATAAAAACAGACTGGAGAAACTCAGCCAATCTGATAGCTTCTGGAGAAAAGATTAGAGTTAATGTTTCAAGTCTAATATAAGCTGTATTGTTTATTTTAGATAGAGAGTCTTTTTGTTAAATATTAAAAGCTCCCGACAGAAGTGTGTACAGTTCAATATTGCTTTGTTTCATCCTCTTTTGGAACTTCAACAGGAAGTAATTTTTATCGCATGTAAATTTAGTTCTCAAGTTTTTATTTAAAAATAAGTACTTTTGAAAGGAAACTTACAATTTGGCCATATATGGTTTTGTAGGGTTGTTGAAATTGTTTTGGTACTGCTGTATTCTTCTGATGCTTAATTTTGTGTGACTCCTGTCTAACAAGCTCAATATCTACTGAGATGGGAGCCTGTGATTACGGTGGAGAACTGAAGTAAGTTTGTACATTTATGCAGCAAGCCAGATCCAAATTGAAATTGCCCTTCCACTCAACGATATGAAAAGTTTTTGGTGTGGTTTCTCTTGTAGGGAAAAGACTCCCAGCACGGGCTCTGTATTCACCGGCAACACAAACCATTGAGACTAAAAATCCACGTGCTAACCTCCTCGTCAGTAAATGGCAGCAAGTCTGGTTGTTGGCTCTGGACAGACGACGGAAACTCAATGATGCACTTGATAGGCTGGAAGAGGTAAACATTTTAAAATCTGCAGTTTGAAGAATTGAATGAAATGACAATGAGTAAATTCCTCTTCAGCCTGCAGTCTCTCAAATGGAATAAAATGATTGAAGCTTTTACTTTGACAAAGGAATACAGTTACTGATAATTACTTAAATGAAATTCAGGCTTTTTAAAACAAAAGAGGCATCATTGAATTATAAGTAACAACAGCATAGAAGAAAGCCATTCGCCCCATCAAGACTACACTGGCTGTTTCGAAGAGCATTCCAGTTAGTCTTAATCCCCGCTCTTTTCCCATATACCTGCAATGTTTTTCCTTCAAGTTTATCCAATACACTTTTGAAGACGACTACTGAATCTGTATCCACGATCCGATCAGGCAGTACATTTCAAATCCTAGCCAGTCATAATGTAAAATAATTTTTGTTCATGTAGAAACTGAAAAAACTGCAGATGCTGTAAATCAGAAAGAAAAACAGAAGTTGCTAGAAAAGCTCTGCACGTCTGGCAGCATCTGTGAAGAGAAATCAGAGTTAACGTTTCAGGTCCCTTCCTTGGAACTGATGGTAGCTGGAAAATGTTGGTTTATACGCAGAAGATAGGGTGAGGGGGAGGGGGTAAGGTGTAAACGATAGATGGGATAGGGCCCAAAGAGAAAGAACAGTTGGACAGGCAAAGGAGTAGATAAGGATCTGGCTAGGAGGGTGAATAGCTATTAATGGAGACTGTTAGTGACTAACAATAGGTTGTGTGTATTGGCTATGTGATAGCAAGATTGGGGGCTAAGCAATGGGAGAGTTAAGGTCCTAAAATTATTGAACTTGATATTGAGTCCGGAGGGCTGCAGGGTCCCTACCATCCCACCAGCATCCACATCCAGAAGATCATCAGCTGCCATTTGTGCCACTTCCAGTGAGATGCCACCACCAGACACACATTCCCCTCCCCTCCCTTGTCCACCTTCCACAGGGACCGTTCCCTCATGAACACCCTGATCCACTCTTCCTTCACTCCCAGTGACCCCCCTGCCACAGCCCCACGGCACCTTCCCCTGCAAACGCTGAAGGTGTAACACCTGCCCATTTACCTCCTCCCTCTTCAGTATCCAAGGGTCCAAACATACCTTCCAGGTGAAGCAGCACTTTACCTGCCCTTCACACAATGTAGTCTACTGCATTCATTGCTCACAATGTTGGCTCCTGTACATTGGGGAAACGAAGTGTAGGCTGAGTAACTGCTTCACAGAACACCTATGTTCTGGTCAAAAAAAAGACCCTGAGCTTCCAGTCGCCTGCCACTTTAACACACCACCCTGTTCCCTGGCCAACATCCCTGTCTCAGGCTTGTTGCAGTGTTTCAGCGAAGCTCAGCACAAGCTGGAAGAACAACACCTTATTTTCCGCTTGGGGACCCTGCAGCCCTCCAGACTCGATATAGGGTTCAATAATTTTAGAGCCTAAACTCTCCCATGTCCTAGCCCCCAAGCCGACATACCAGGCCTTATTATTACGTAGTCAGCCATTACAAACTACCTATTGTTGGCCACTAACAGTCTCCATTAACAGCTATTCACCCTCCTAGTCAGATCGTTATCCACTCCTTTGTCTGTCTAACTGTTCTTCTCTCTCTTTGGGCTCTATCCCCACCTATCATTTATTCCTTACCTCCTCCCCCCACCCTATCTTCTGCATATAAACCAACATTTTCCTAGAAACAGTCAGTTCTGAGGGTGACCAGATCCGAAACGGTAATTCTGATTTCTCTCCACAGATGCTGCCAAAGCTGCTGAGCTTTTTCAGCAACTTCTGTTCTTGTTTTTTTCATGTAGTTTCATTTCTCAGCTGGTGGTTTAAAAAAAAAAACAATATGCTGCTTCAATAACTTATTACATGTTGAAATAAGCAGTAGATTTTGTCAAATGAGCCATTAGGTGACCATTTTGGATGGCCTTTCAGTATTTCATTAAACAAACCACATAGTAAACTTGTAGGAGTTACCAAATAAGCATTTCTCCCTGAGCCACTTTATCATTTTTTAAAGGTACTTGTAGAAATCCTGAATGTGGATTGCTTTTCAAGATTATATGTAATATTCTTCAACTAACATTGCGTGTACATTACCTGCATGGGACCCTAGTTACGCCTGTCTCTTCGTGGGGTACGTGGAACATTCCTTATTCGAGGCCTATTCCGGCCCCCACCCACAACTCTTTCTCCGATACATTGATGATATCATCGGTGCTGCTTCCCCCTCTCGTCTAGAATTGGAAAACTTCATCAATTTCACCTCCAATTTCCACCCTGCCCTCACTTTCACCTGGTCTATCTCTGACTTCTCCCTTCCCTTCCTCGACATTTCTGTTTCCATTTCTGGGGATAGACTGGCCACTAATATCCATTACAAACCCACCGACTCCCACAGCTGCCTGGACTATACATCCTCACACCCCACTTCCTGTAAAGACTCCATCCCATTTTCTCAGTTCCTCCATCTCCATCGCATATGTTCAGATGAGGCCAACTTCGACGAGAGCCTCTGAAATGTCCATATTCTTCCTCAACCGAGGATTCCCCAGCTCCGTTGTTGACAGGGCCCTCAATCGGGTCCAACCCATCTCCCGCACTTCTGCCCTCATCCCTTCTCTTCCCTCCCGCAACAGTGATAGGGTTCCCCTTATCCTCACCTACCATCCCACCAGCATCCACATCCAGAAGATCATCAGACGCCATTTCCGTCACCTCCAGCAAGATGCCACCACCAGACACATATTCCCCTCCCCTCCCCTCCCTTGTCCGCCTTCCGCAGGGACCGTTCCCTCCGGGACACCCTGGTCCACACTTCCTTTAACCCCAACACCTCCCCACAGCCCTACGGCACCTTCCCCTGTAACCGGCGAAGGTGCAACACCTGCCCATTTACCTCCTCCCTCCCCACTATCCAAGGGCCCAAACATACCTTCCAGGTGAAACAACACTTCACCTGCACTTCCAAGAATCTAGTCTACTGCATTCGCTGCTCACAATGTGGTCTCCTCTACACTGGGGAAACGAAGTGTAGACTTGGCGACCGCTTCGCAGAACATCTACGTTCTGCTCACAAAAAAGACCCTGAACTACCTGTTGCCTGCTACTTCAATGCACCACCCTGCTCTCTGGCCAACATCTCTGTCTTCGGCTTGCTACAGTGTTCCAGTGAAGCCCAACGCAAGCTGGAGGAACAACACCTCATTTTCCGCTTGGGGACCCTACAGCCCTCCGGACTCAATATTGATTGAGTTCAATAATTTTAGGGCCTAAACTCTCCCATGTCCCAGCCCCCCACCCCACACAGCAGGCCTTGTTACCACATAGCCTGCCACTACACACCCCCTGTTAGTCACTAACAGTCCCCATTAACAACTATTCACCCTCCCAGCCTGATCGTTAGCAACTCCTTTGTCTGTCTCTCTCTTTGGGCTGTATCCTATCGTTTACTCCCTACCCCAGCCACCTCCCTATTTTCTGTATATAAACTGCTGTTTTCCCAGCCACCATCAGTTCTGAGGAAGGGTCACTGGACCGGAAACGTTAACTCTGTTTTCTCCTCCACCGATGCTGCCAGACCTGCTGGGTTTTTCCAGCAACTTTGTTTTTGTTACATGTACAAAGTACATTAACATTATTTATATCTAAATTAACTTCCCGATGAATGACATTATTCTTCTAATTTATAAGTGCAGATTTCTTGCAAGAGTTAAACTGTTAAACTCTGGCATCTACCTGACAATATAGAAAATTGTCCACATAAAAGATTATTGTGCAAGATTAAAGTGCATGGGTTTGGGGAAAGTGTATTGAGATGGATAGAAAATTGGTTTGCAGAGAGGAAACAAAGAGTAGGAATTAATGGGTCCTTTTCAAATTGGCAGGCAGTGACTAGCGGGGTGCCACAGGGACCCCAGCTATTCACAATATATATTAATGATTTGGATGAGGGAACAAAATGTAACACCTCAAAGTTTGCAGATGATACCGCTTTGGGTGGGAGGGTGAATTGTGACGAGGATGTAGAGATCCTTTAGCATGACCTGGATACAAAAGCAGGCCAAATCCAACCCAGTCAAATATTGCCCCATCAGTCTACTCTCGATCATCAGTAAAGTGATGGAAGGTGTCATCACTAGTGCTACCAAGCAGCACCTGCTCAGTGACACCCGGTTTGGGTTCTGCCAGGGCCAGTCCGTTCCTGACCTCATTTCAGCCTTGGTTCAAACATGGACAAAAGAGCTGACTTCCTGAGATAAGGTGAGAGTGACAGCCCTTGACATCGAGGACACATTCAGCTGAGTGTGGCCTGGAGGAGTGCTAGCAAAACTGGAATCAATGGGTATTGGGGCCAAACTCTCTCCGCTGGTTGGAGTCATACTTGGCACATAGGAAGATGGGTACCCCAAGAAGGGTAGGAGGGCCAATCCATGGCATATAAAGGAAATTAGAGATAGTATCCAATCCAAGGAAGAAGCATACGGATTGGCCAAGAAAAATAATATGTCTGACGATTGGGAGCAGTTTAGAATTCAGCAAAGAAGGACCAAGAGATTGATTAAGAAGGGGAAAATACTGTACGAAAGTAAGCTTGCGGGGAACATAAAGACTGACACTAAGAGTTTTTATAGGTACATAAAGAGAAGGAGATTGGTGAAGATAAATGTAGGCCTCCTACAGACAGAAACGGGTAATGTATAATAGGGGACAAAGAAATGGCTGAGCAACTGAATACATACTTTGGTTCTGTCTTCCCAAAAGAGGACACAAATCAGATACCAGAAATGTTGGAGAATGCAAGGTTTAATGAGAGGGAAGAATTGAGGGAGATCAATATGAGTAGAGAAATGGTGCTGGGAAAATTGATGGGATTGAAGGCGGATGAATCCCCAGGGCCTGATAATCCACATCCCAGAGTACTTAAGGAAGTGGCTGTAGAAATAGTGGATGCATTGGTGGTCATCTTCCAGGACTCTGCAGACTTTGGAACAGTCCCTGCAGATTGGAGGGTGGATAATGTCACTCCAATATTCAAAAAGGGGAGATAGAGAGAAAACAGGGATTTATAGACCACTAAACCTAACATCGGTACTGGGGAAAATTCTCAAATCCATTATCAAAGAGTTTATGGTGGAGCATTTAGAAAGTAGTGGTAGGATCAGACAGAGTCAGAATGGATTTATGAAGGGGAAATTATGCTTGACAAATCTGTTGGAATTCTATGAAGATATAGCTAGTTGAGTTGACAAGGGTGAACCAGTCGATGTGGTACATTTGGACTTTCAGAAAGCGTTTGACAAAGTCCTGCATAGGAGATTATTGTTCAAGATTAAAGCGCATGGGATTGGAGGGGTGTATTGAAATGGATAGAAAACTGGTTGGCAGAGAGGAAACAGAGTAGGAATTAATGGATCCTTTTCAAATTGGCAGGCAGTAACTAGTGGGGTGTCACAGGGATCAGTACTGGGACCCCAGCTATTCATAATATATATTAATGATTTGGATGAGGGAACAAAATGTAACCCCTCAAAGTTTGCAGATGATACCACGTTGGGTGGGAGGGTGAATTGTGACAAGGATAAGAGATCCTTCAGCATGATCTGGACAGGTTGGGTGAGTGGGCAAATCAATGGCAGATGCAGTATAATTTGGATACATGTGAGGTTGTTCACTTTGGAAGCAAAAACAAGAACGCAGATTACTACTTGAATGGCTGTAAATTGGGAGAGGAGAATGTGCAGTGGGACCTGGGTGTCCTTGTGCAGCAGTCACTAAAGGTAAGCATGCAGGTGCAGCAGGCGGTGAAGAAGGCAAATGGCCAATGGCCTTCATTACAAGAGATTTTGAGTACAAGAGCAGGGATGTGTTGTTGCAGTTGTACAGGACGTTGGTGAGGTCACACCTGGAATATTGTGTGCAATTTTGGTCTCCTTTTCTGAGGATGGATGCTCTTGCTCTGCAGAGAGTGCAGTGAAGGTTTACCAGGCTGATTCTGGGATTGGCAGCACTGACATATGAGGAGAGATTGACTAGGTTGGGATTGTTTTTGCTGGAATTCAGATAGAAACTTATAAAATTCTAACAGGACTGCACAGGGTAGATGCAGGGAGGATGTTCCTGATGGAGGGTGTGTCCAGAACCAGGGGTCACAGTCTGAGGATTCGGAATAGGCCATTTAGAATGGAGATGAGGAGACATTTCTTCACCCAAAGAGTGATGAGCCTGTGGAATTCATTACCACAGGAAGTAGTTGATGCCAAAACATTGAATGTATTCAAGAGGCAGCTAGATATGGCACTTGGGGCAAGTGGGATCAAAGGTTATGGGGTGAAAGTAGGATTAGGCTATTGTATTGGGCAATCAGCCAAGAAGTGTTGAATGGTGGAGCAGGCTTGAAGGGCTGAAGGGCCTCCTCCTGCTTCTATCTTCTGTGCTTCTATGTTTGGTTGTTGGATGTCAGTCATTTCATCTCTAGCACATGTCTGCAGGAGGTCCTCAGGTTAGTGTCCGAGGCCCAGTCATCTTTAGCTGCTTCATCAATAACCTTCTCACCATCATAAGGTCAGAAGTGGGCATGTTTGCTGATACTCAGCACCATTCTCAACTCCTCAGATACTAAAGCAGTCCATATTCAAATGCTACAAGATCTAGACAATATCCAGGCTTGGGCTGAGAACTGGCAAGAAACATTTGCACCTCACAAATGCCAGCTAATGACTACCTCCTGTAAGAGACAATCTGATCACCTCTCCTTGACATTCATTGGTGTTACCATCACTGAATGACTATCAACATCCTGGGGGTTACCATTAAATAGAAACTCAACTGGACTCGCCACAAAAACACAGTGGCTACAAGGGCAGGTCAGAGGCTGGAATACTGCAATGAGTAACTCACCCCCTGACTCCCCAGAGCCTGACCACCACCTACAAGGCACCAGTCAGGAGTGTGATGGAATACTCCCCACTTGCCTGGCTGGATGCAGCTTCAACAATGCTCAAGAACCTTGACACCATCCAAGACAATGCAGCACACTTTCTTGACACTGCATCCACAAGCATCCTCTCCCTCCAGCACCAACGTTCAGCAGCGTGTACTTTCTATAAGAAGTACTGCAGAAATTCACCAAAATTCATTAGATAGCACCTTCCAAATTCATGACCACTTCCATTGAGAAAGGCAAGGGCAGCAGATATATAGGAACACCACAAGTTCCCCTGCAAGCCACTCACCATCCTGACTTGTAAAATATATCACCGTTCCTTCATTGTCACTGGGTCAAAATTCTGGAATTCCTTCCCTATGGGAATTGTGGGTCAACCTGCAGGATGTGGACTGCAGCGGTTCAAGAAGGCAGTTCACCACTAGAACAACTAGGGATAGGCAATAAATGCTGGCCAGCCAGCAACGCCCACATTCCACAAGTGAATAAAAAAAAGTTGGATTTAATTATTCGTAGAAAATATCTAAACGTGCAACTGGAACATTTTAATGTTTATGTAAGGGAGCAATTAAAATGTTTTATTGAGCTTGCTTACTTTATTTGGCAATCCAGCTGTTTCCTTCATTGTGAAATTATGAATTCAAATACTTCTGTGTCTTAAATATTTGCGGAATTTTTTAAATGATCTGTTAACCTGCTCCGTCTAGAATTTGTTTGTATTTTTGATAGTATCACAAACCAGTTGTTCCCTGTTCAAGTCTTTCTAGGGTATTTGTGCTGATGGAATTTTATTTTTAATCTTGAGAAGGAAGGGAAAGGTGCTAATTTGTGGAATTTCCATGAAACTTGGCCAAAATGATCTCACCAAGATCTTATTTCAAGGATAAAATTTGCTTAAGATATGCTTCCCTTACAGCTGAGAGAGTTTGCCAACTTTGATTTTGACGTTTGGCGAAAGAGATATATGCGATGGATGAACCACAAGAAGTCCAGAGTAATGGATTTCTTCAGACGCATTGACAAAGATCAGGATGGAAAGATCACAAGACAAGAGTTTATTGATGGAATTCTCTCCTCAAGTGAGTGTTAGCGAATCCATTGCAGTGTCTCTGGAAAGATGTATATTTCCCAAGGAATTGAGAATCATATTCCTATTCAATTACAAACGCATTTCTATAGTGTAATTACAAATGCATTTCTGTAGCGCTTTTCAAGTATCCTAAGCAGCAGAAGAAAGAGGCCTACAAAATTTCAGCCAGCTCTCTGAAAGAACAATCTCTATTTTCTGGTTCTTTTCCATACCATTTTTCTTCAACCTCTGGTAATATATTCCAAATCCTGGCAATCATTTGCCTAAAGAGAACAAACTGCGCTGCTGATCCTATCTCTGTGGCTATTAGCTAATGACCTCATCATTCAATGGAAGTAGTTTTTTTCTTGCTTACCTTATCCACACCCCCTGAAATGCTGAATGTATCAACAAAACAACTCTAAATAGAATCTCTACAATGCAGAAAGAGGCCATTTTGCCCATCAAGTCTGCACCGACCCTCTGAAGAGCATCCCGCCGAGACCTCCCACCCGCTAACCGCATGTTAGGTTTTTACCATGCTAACGCACCTAACTTGCACATCTCTGGACACTACAGGGCAAGTTTTTGCATAGCCAATCCACTTGCATGTCTTTGGACAGTGGGAGGCAACCAGAGCACCCGGAGAAAACCCATGCAGTCACCCAAAGGTGGAATTAAACCCAGGTCCCTGAAGCTGTGAGGCAGCAGTGTAACTCCTATGTCCTGCTGAAAATATATAACCAAAATGGAAAAGGAACTATTTCTAATGAAGGATATACAGTTGAAATATAGTTTTGTCCTTTCTCTCCATTAATACTAACTGACCAGCTGCATATTTCCAACATATTCACTTCTTGTGTCATCACCTTGAATGTTTATGTCAATCCCCTCTCAGTCGTGGTGCATTCTAGTTTATCGTTACCTCAATATTTAGAGAGTAAAACCTGGGTGAAAGTTTGTTTTGCTTTCTCTAATCTATATTTGATCTTCTAGTCTACTTGTTGCTGTTCTCCAGAGAGGTAAATTTAACAACCAACCTGATTTCCCTTCACTCGACACAGTCACATATACAGCTCACCTCCACAAACACATAAATGGTTGTATTTAATATCTAGAAACAGCTATCTGATACACTTTGAAGTGCCAGTGTACATTTGTGTTTACCTTGCCCAGAGATACTGATGTATTGTTAATCTGCCTTTGCCACTTTGAGGGAGATCTGACTGCTCACCACAGACTGGGAATTGAACTTAATAGTCTTCTTGCTCCACTGAGCCCTGTGTGGTATCATGTGCTGAACCATTGGGATTCCGGAGTTTTACTAGTCTTGGACTGGTAGTAGGTTAATAATTAATGGAAAAGTATCTATTGTGCTGACACATAGTAATTTAGTTACGTTCACAGATTGAACTCAGGAGAGGAACACTATGACAATATTCAACTAAAAGGACCGTATTTATGATATTCTGTAGAGTTTCCTACCAGCCGTCTGGAGATGAGTGCAGTGGCAGATATATTTGATCGAGATGGTGATGGCTACATTGATTATTACGAGTTTGTGGCAGCCCTTCATCCAAACAAAGATGCTTACAAACCTCTTACTGATGCAGACAAAATTGAGGATGAGGTAAACTACCATTGTGCAGAGAATCTAAGCTTCGTATTCTGGGATACTGGAACTTCTGATGGTCAACCAACTTCTGATTTTTAAAGGAACCCATCAGATAATATTTGTTTTAATTTATGATAAGAGATCTGATTTTACTGCCAGTGATTATTTAAGTGATCAAATGCTTTCAAGCTCACTTTATTATAACGGTCTCATTTTGCGCTTTATTTTAGGTGACACGGCAAGTAGCAAAATGTAAATGTGCAAAGCGGTTTCAGGTGGAACAGATAGGGGAGAACAAGTACAGGGTGAGTGTTGCAATCTTTGCTGTGCCTTAAGCTGAGACAAAACAATAATGTGTGTGACTTTGAAACCATAAGCTTTGGCTCAAGGGTTGCTTGGGCTAAATTAGAGACTAAAGCTAATTTCAGTTAATAAATAACCAACAATCTTCCAACTAAAACAATGTTATTCCAATCATAAGTTCTACTGTATATGGCAAGCACATTTGAATGTCAAAGTTGTAGGAGGAATGACTAAACCTGTACTTTATGAACTGATAGCAGTAAGCAATCAGGTTTAATCTGGAAATAATCTAAACACAGATTTGATGTAAGTGCCAGTTGCTACAAATTTGGATGGTTATGAAACTATTTGAAGAAACAGTGGATGTAAATTAGAGCAATAAAATGTTGCTGAAGTCTTGGAATTTATGCCTATAAATGTCTAATTGTATTTTTGATTCTTATAACATTTTGTAAAGAAAGAGTTCGGCTTTTATTGATTATATGCCGCCTTATTTAGTAAGTAGTGCAGTGAATAGAAGCAAAGGGCCAGGTGTAGCATGTCATGGATGTCACAGGTGACCCGGCGTCCTTGGAATCTTATCCCAGCCGGAACTAATTCTTTCAGAGCAGGAGAGAATGGCTCCTGTGTTTATTAATCTTTTCAAATTGACAAATAACTTTGCCTTGTAGCATTAAATAATTAATCACTTGCAGCAATACAACAGAGCTTTACAAGTATAATTGAACTTGGAAAAACTGTTGAAGAATATTGTAAAGCAAGGAAGGTCACAACACCACAGTGTGGTATGACTATAGATTCAATAGCAGAGGAGGAGGCCATTTGGCCCATATTATATCTGCCAGCTCTTTGAAAGAGCTTCCGGTTAGTCCCACACTCCTGTTCTTCCTTGTGACAGATTCTATTGAAACTGCTTCCAACATCCTTTCAGATAGTGCATTCCAAACGTCTGAACTCGAATCCTCTTCGCCTCCCTTCTGATTCCTTTGCCAATTACCTTAAAGCTGTGTCCTCTGGTTACTGACCCTCCTGCTTTATTTCTCCTTATTGATTTAAGTTTTACTCAGGGCGTGATTTGACCCCTTCCTCAAGGTGGTGAGTAGGGGAATGGAGCAAGTTGTCCTCGAAATGATACTGACAGAACCCCATCCTGCCTTCTCGTCACCTCACCAATTAAGTGTTTGCTATGTTTCTAATTAACCTGTTCAGAAATTTTATGACACATGTCGGAAGCAGGTGGGACTTGAAACCAGATCTCCTGGTTCAGAAGTAGGCTCACTACCACTGCGTCATAAGAGCCTGATTTAGTGTTTGGTGAAAAGGTCCAATAAGTGGGACCACACTTGACAGCAATTAAATCTCTGACGTGATCATTTAGGACCTCAACTCTCAATCTCCCCAATCATCTGCCAGCCAATGGGTGAGAAACATGGCTAGTTTCCGTGAGAAATGAGTGCAAGCTGCCTGTCACATTATGACAGGGTCTCCTATTGTTCCAATCTGGGGAAAAAAGAGGCGAGGATTGTGGGGGAAGGCAATGGGATAACCTCTAAAAGTCACCCCTGTGCCCTTGCCTCCAATGCCCCCTTGCCTTGCGACATACATCCTACAAGAAGAGAACAAAGACCTTCCTTGTCTCTGATGAATCCCTCAAGGAATAGGCTTTGACTGGTAGACTTTGGGATACAGGAGGTGCCAGCCTGTGATTTGGTGGCAACCTCTGGAGACCCAGATGATCAGTGTTGAGGACTATGATAGGGCAAGATATTCACCCTTGCTTGCACGTCAGCTCTTGAGCTGATTGGCAACGTTTAGGTGAGTATTTTGCTGGAGGGAGCAGTGTGTTAGTCACCAACTAACATGCCTGCTCGGACACTTAGAACAATTGTGAAAAACACATTATTTGTGTATATTTAAAGCAACGTGTTCATAAAAATACAGAATATGGGTTTTTTTTTAAACCTTCATGGGATATGTGCTTTGCTAACTGGTGCAGCATTGATTGCCCATGTTCAGTTGCTCTTTAGGGTAATGTATTGTAAGTTAATTAACATGGAAGGAGGAAAATCAGGTTATGGGTGCATCCTTTCATCTGACTGGTTTCATCCTAGTTCAGATTTCTAGCATTTCTGAATAATTCCCACTTAAACTGCTAATCTTACAACATCCTTCCTCTTGGCATATAAGAACTTTATTCCAATGCAGTTTCCAATCTCCCTCATAATTTCTAGCCCAAATGACTGAGGGAATGTGCAGTTTTCATTGGCTGTTGCTGCGATCTCTCATTGGGGTGTTCCTGTAACTCCATTTTTTTAAAATGACATGGTGGTCTGTGAATCCGTTGAGTCAAGGAAAGCAGTTTTGTCTATCTACAACTTAACATTGGTGATGATTAAAGAGTCCATTAAACAAACGTTTTGTCTGTTGCTAATGTACCTGTAATTGAGTGATTGTGAGATCAAAAATTAGTTTAGCTGCACTGCAAGCAACTCAGCTCACCCTCCCTTAACCCGTAGCATAGGCACATGTCCACCTTGCATTGAATCTCAGTAGTCTGATCATTTGACTACACCTACACAATTTGAAACTCCTGGGATTTTATTAATAGAATTGTTAATAAACTCCCTAAAAATTTTCTGTTTTCTACTTTGAGAGTTAACTTTTGGAGCATTCATTAACAGAGATAGATGTGAACATCAGATGTCGTTACTTGTCTACTAAATTCCCTTTATTGTTACCTCAATCATCACATCTTCACTGCTCTCATTCCTCAATTCTGCTTACAATCTTACACAAAATTTTCTGTTCTAATTAAATCCACTTAATTCTGTGAAGCCAGTAATGTAAATCATTTTGAATGAATTCAAAAGTTGATTTTTAGAACTCAAGGGAGGCATTCGTGTAGTCGTAATGTCACTGGACTAGTAACCCAGCATCCCATGTTAATGTCCTGGGGCATGAGTTTGAATCCCACCACAGCAGATGGCGAAACTTGAATTCATAGATCATAGAATCCCTACAGTGTGGAAACAGGCCCTTCGGCCCAACAAGTCCACACCGAACCTCAAAGCATCCCACCTATACCCATCCCGCTATAACCCACCTAATCTACACATCCCTAAACACTACGGACAATTTAGCATAGCCAATCTGCCTAGCATGCACATCTTTGGACTGTGGGAGGAAACCGGAGCACCGGGAGGAAACCCACGCAGACACGGGGAGAATGTGCAAACTCCACACAGACAGTCGCCCGAGGGTGGAATTGAACCCAGGTCCCTGGCGCTATGAGACAGCAGTGCTATTCACTGAGCCACCATGCTAGAATAAAAAGCTAACCAGTGGACAAACAGTGTTTGTTGTAATTGACTACTGTCAATTGATTTTTTTTTAAAATCCCATCTGGCTCCCTGTTGCCCTTTAGGAGGGGAAATCTAGTGTCCTTACCTGGTCAAGCCTACAATGTGACTCCAGTCTCTAGCGACGTGGTTAACTGTTAACTGGGGATGGCCAGTAAGTCTAGCCAGCAGCACCCATATACCATAATTACTTTAAAAAATATAGCCTTTAACAATCTTAGCCTCTAAACTAACTAAAAATTATTTAGCCTCAACCTTCAACGATAAGGCCAGGCTATTTTTTAATGTCCTCCCTTGGTTTCAGATGTGAAAACTTTCCAGCATACTAATTTATAAATCTCAACATTATTTAGTAAAACAAATCTTTTACTTGTAAGTTATGCAGTAACTTCACAGAGGATTAGCCATAATCATTTTGAAGGGCGGAGCGGGCTCGAAGGGCTGAATAGCCAACTCCTGCTGCCAGTTGTTTCTAGTAAATATTCATTATTACTGGGGAACAAATCCCACATACCTTTTGAAAGCTGTGCTAAGCTACTGCATTTCAGTTGTGGTTGTTGCAGATTTTCTTTAGTTTTCTTTCTTCATCCTGTTTGGGTCCTTTGTGTGTTTATCTGGTACAGTCAAAAACCAGATTAGTCTGCCTGTTCTGAACAAAAACCAATTGTAATTAATAATTTTTCTAACCTTTTGGGGTTGGAATGAGCTTTTATTTGCCATTTATTGAATACTCACAGCACAAATGAGGCCATTCAGCCCATCATATCTGTGATAGCTATCTAACAAGAACAACTTGCCTAATGCCACTTCTTTACCTTTTCCTGTCACCCTGAAATGTTTTCCTTTTCAGATCATGATTCATTTCCCCTTTGATAGCCACAATTCAACCTATCTCCACCACACTCTCAGGCAGGGCATTCCAGATCCTAACCACTTGCTATGTAAAACTGTTTCTCCTTCTTATCACCATTGCTTCTTTGGCTGGAATCTGTGCCCTCTTGCTCTCAATCCTTCCACCAATAGTTTCTCCCTATCCATTCTGCCGGAGCCATTCATGATTTAGATTTCTTTTAAACTTCTTTTCAAACTTTTCTTCTCCAAGAAGAACAATCCTAGTTGCTCTGCTCTTGCTATGTGGCTAAAGTTCCTTATCCCTAGGACTATTCTTATAAATCTTTTCTGCTCTCTCTCTAATGCCTTCACAAAGTCATTAAAGTTTGGAGCCCAGAAATGGACCAAGACTTTAGTTGAGACTTAACCTGCACCTTATACAATTTATCATATCTTCCTTGCTTTTGTACACTATGCTCTTACATCTAATGATCCCATATGCTTTATTAGTGACCCTCACAACCTGATGCTGATCTGTGTAAATAGAAACAGTCAAAACTTCAAATTGATTTTTAATATTCATAATATTTATGTTTCTTTTTAATTTAAGATAAATGCACTGTTTGTTTTCTTTCCATGTGTTAAGTACAATGTCATTAATCCTAATTGAAAATCTCTCCATTACAGGGAATAAAAATTATAACTTTAACAATTGCTCATAAATATTCAAGCTACATCACATATGTCATTTTGTGCCATTATCTTATACACTGAGCATACAATAGTATTGTGCAGATTACACAGCTGGGCTGTGGGAATGGGGCTACCTGAAAAAGGTTGGTCTTGCAACCCTTTGTATACTTGGTACTTCTTGCACAATATATTGGTGCAAAAAGCACTTGATAAATACTGTTTTTAATTTGCATAGAAATTTCACAACAAGTAGACGAGTGCAATAAGCTATGAATGTCAATTGGCTTGGGGTTCTATCTCAGGTTTGACAGTGTGAGCAATGACTATAGGTAATTGCTGGAGCCTATTATTGCGTTTAATTGCTGCAATATAACCAAATATGGCTTCCAAATAGGAATAAACACAACTACAGCAAGTAGTCCTTCATCCTGCCATTGACCAGAGGATAGTGTTTGAGTGAGCTGTAGCTATCCAATTTTATAAACTTAGTGTGTTTGTACTATTATTTTATGAGCCCTAGGAATTTTAACTTAACAATTTACCAGGTGGATGTAGCCTGTATTGTCTGAAGGTAATATCGCCTATCAATACCAACAAAGCTAACCAAGACTTTCTCAAATTGTTCCTCATTGTTGAGGAACGTATGTAGAAGACATATGTATTGTAATTTTTCAATTGGGTAGCAATGTCAAATAAACAAATCACAGTTAATTCTTCTGGAAATATATTTGAGTAAATTGTTATCAGTGGGAAAGTGCATCAACCTGTACAGTCCCACGTCATGAAAGTGAGGAACTATTCAGTTTCAAGTCTGTGCTGAATCAGTCTCGTCCTAGGCAATTGGATTCGTAATTCCTGAGTCAGGAAGGCTAGTTGATAAATCACATGAAGTTGCAGTTCTTGATAGCTATCCAGTGACTTATACTGGGGGCATACTTGTGTGAATGTCCAGTGAGGATGAGATCAATCACAGTACCTTGCATGGTATTGAAAGAACAGTAGTAAGAAACACAGTGACAATTATTTTCTAGCTTCACAAAAAAAAATCACTTAAGTGAGGCACTGGAGAGTTATCAACATCTAATTGTAGCCTAGGTTAAATCATTAGCTCAGAAAAGAAGAAAGAAAGCAAAAACAAAATTATCAAAAGAATGAAATTGAATAGATTTGTACCCTGTTACAATGAAGGAATCTTACCTCACTCCTTAGCAGGTTTCTTTACTGGCCTTAGTTGTCTTGTACGAAAATTGGAAATTCCATCTTGAATTTTGTAAATGAATATCCACTCATTTAAGAGCACTGTTATATTTCAAAACCAAAGCTGTTGTGACTAATTTTCTCTTTCTTCATATTCTTTTCCATGACTTAGTTCTTCCTGGGAAATCAGGTACAGAACAACATAAATGTCTGATATGTTTTCCCTGTTGTGCTGTGTGCTAAAAGTAACTGCTGCTTTGTGGCTTTCCAAGTATAAATGAGTTGGACCTGGAAAGGCTTTCCCAATCTGTTTTCCAGTGGATTATTTTTGATTATTGCACAGTTGTGTGGGTATAAAAAAGTCTCTGCTGCTGCTTTTCCTTCTAATCGTTCTTCACCCCTGCAAATTAGCTGTGCAAACTGGTTGAAAGTTAAGCTTGCAATGCAGAAATTAAATGCTTTATGCAAAACAATGGGTTATGAATTGGAAGAGAAATTCATTAGCAATATCATTGTTTTGATTTCTGACGGTCTAAGTTAATCAGCTGCTAAGCTGTTTCTTGCTGCCCTTTTTGCAGTTTGGTGACTCGCAGCAGTTGCGGCTAGTCCGCATCCTGCGCAGTACAGTCATGGTTCGTGTTGGAGGAGGTTGGATGGCACTCGATGAGTTTCTGGTGAAAAATGACCCCTGCAGAGGTAGGTTGTGAACTGTATTTTGGCTGGCTGTACCAATCACCTACTTCAACACCATTAGCTCTTGTCATGTGCTGCAATACCGCCACAAGATATTGAGTGCTTGCTTGTTTCTTAATGGAATTTTTAGCAATTTATTTAGTAAAAGAACAGGCATCAATAATGGACCAGTGAGTAATGTACTGTTGTCTGTTTGGTTGGATATATTTCTGAAGGTCTCACATGATTGGTTGTCTCCAATTGTCTTTCCCCTTTGTCCTGCCGTTAGTCACAGAATCTATCCCATTCTTCTGCCCAAGTTTAGTGTTACAGACTCTTAGCTACCTGCTTGAAAGGTTTATGACTGCAGTCATAGAGTCACACAGCACAGGAACAGCCTTTTGGCCCAACTCGTCCATGCCGACCAAGTTTTCCAAACTACAATAGTCCCACTTGCCTGTGTTCAGCCCACATCCTTCAAAACTTTTGTATTCATGTACCTGTCCAAATGTCTTTTAAATGTTGTAACTGTACCTGCATCCACCACTTTTTCTGGCAGTCCATTCCTCATACGAACCAGCCTCTGTGTGAAAAAGTTGCCCTTCAGGTCCCTTTTAAATCTTTCTCCTCTAACCCTAAAAATATGCCCCCTGGTTTTGAACTCCCACACCTTAGGGAAAAGACTTTGCCTATTACCTTACCTATGCCCCTCCTGATTTTATAAACCTAATTAAAGTTACCCCTAAATCTCCTATGCTCCAGTGAAAAAGTCCCAGCCTCTCCCTAAACTCAAATGCTCCAGTACCAGCAACATCCTGGTAAATCTTTGCTGAACCCTCTCTAATTTAACAGTATCCTTCCTATAGCAGGACGATCAGAACTATACACAGTACTTCACAAACATCCTGTGCAACCTGAACATGACATTCCAACTCCTACACTCGATGGTCTGAGCAATGAAGGCAAGCTTGCTAAACGCCATCTTAACCACCCTGTCTACCTGTGACGGAACTTTCAAACAACTATATACCTGAAAGCCTAGGTCTTTCTGTTTGACAAAACTACCCAGGGCCCTACTATTAACTGTACAAGTCCTGCCCTTGTTTGTTTTATCAAAATACAATAGCTCACATTTATCCAAATTAAACTCCATCTGCCTTTCCTCGGCCCATTGGCCCAATTGATTGAAGATCCCTTTGTAATCATAGATACTGTTGACTATACCACCAATTTTGCTGTCATCTGCAAACTTACTAACCATGCCTCCTAAATTCTCACCCAAATTGTTTATATAAATGACAAACAAAAGTGGACCTGGCACTGATCCCTGCAGAACACCGCTGGTCAGTTAAACGACCTGTTTCCAATGCTTTTGCAAATAATAAATGAAAGTGCTGAAGGAACATGAAAACAACATGCAACTTCCTTTTGAAGATCATATGATATTTCTTGTAACATTGTGCTGGATATTAATCTTTAATTCTGGGAGATTCCAGACCAACCCTGGAGAGTTGGCAGCACTGCATGTTCTTCAGGAACTAGAATTGACCTCAGCCATAATAAGCCACGGTGGGGAAAAATAATCAGCCAAATTACTGTCTCACGATTTTTTGTTGTGAACTGGGTGTATATGGAATGGATTAAGCTCACTTGTATGTCCATCTTTGTTAGCTAGTTGATGCACTCCGTCTGACCTCAGACTCAAAGCATGTCACATGAGTCAAAGCTGCAAGTGTCACCTTGCTGCCAAGAATCACCACCTTTACTGGGGTTTTGTTTGGAGGGGGAGTGAGACGGGAATGTGAGAATTTAATGACTTTTAACTAAAGGCGTGGAAAGAATTTAAATTCTATTATCAGCAAAGATGAAGTCTCTTTTTTTGCACAAATAACTTGAGTATTCTGGAATTGTTATTTGTATGACCGAAGCAGCTTAAATCACTTCATGGATGTTGGTTTTATCAATCCTTTGCTTGCTCCTGTTTCCTACTAAAGGTTTCTTCTCCATTTCCTTTGATGTGATGCAATCCCTTTATTCATTTCTTCTAGTTCATCATCATGGAAGTAAAATGTTGCGTTCGGAATCAAACTCTTCAATTACCAGTCAGTCTCCTATAGGTTGGCAATCCTCTGTGTCTTTTCTTTCCCCTGTGTGCTTTCCTATTCTGTATGGCTTAACCCACATGGCAGCTTACAGCAGGCTTTTCATGTTTTTTTTAAAAAGAGAACTGTAATCCAATGCGCTTTTAGTTTTTTTAACCGAATACAGAATGATCGGCCATTTTGAAATGCATGTGAAGTTGCTTATATGACTCTTTTCTTTTACCCGCAGTAATACTCACTGCAAGTAAGTGGTCACCTTGTCTGATATTTAGCATCCTCCTAAGTGGAATGTACATATCTGTTCTGCCTGAAAGTGATGTGCTGTTTTAAGCTTCTGCACACGTCTTTGGGGTTGGGTTTGCTTACATGGGTCCCTGGGCTTTCTTAAACTGACTGCATGACGTTAGTGGAGTCCAAACTCTTGCATAGCTCACAGTGTGAAACTGAACTGAAACATTTGATAAGATCAGAACTTTTCTTTTTATTTCCATTTAAGTTTTCTGAATTTTGCTGGGCTAATTCATGTCATGCTCCATACATACACAAGCCCAAATGTTGAGTGCTGCTGTTGCAAGTTCTGTTGCTGGTATGGATAGGCTATCAATTCAGATTTTAGTATCGTTTCATCATTCTGTTACCACCTTTTAGTCCTCCTGTACTCTTTTATTTTCTTTCCACACTTCACCTTGTTATTGTAAGTTTGGTGCTGGATCATATTAATAGCAGTGATTTGAATTTGAACTATTGTTTTATTCCTCTCTGCAGCAAAGGGCAGGACAAACGTTGAACTGCGTGAAAAATTCATGCTTCCTGAAACCACCGGTCAGTCTGTGACTGCCTTCCGATCACGGGGTCGTAGGTCACGGCCATCGTCGAGGGCCGCTTCTCCAAACAGGTCAACCTCCAGTGCCAGTCAGAGTGTTTCAGTTCCGCCAGTTACTACAACTACACCTCCTAAGGTAACGTTAAGCAGCACAATCACTTCCAATTGTTTCCTGCGATCCGTGTATTTTGGCATGCCAGTTATTTTAACCCAATGTAGCACTCAGGCTATTGGCTTCTATGTGTTGCTTAATTGCATTGTTATAGCAATCTCATTTTTAACCCATTATTTTGTTACATTAATTACACTGTCATAGCAACATAACATTTAAATCTGATTTCAGTTTTGTTGTCAGGAATTTATTGTGAAGTATTAGCTAGTGTACATTTACAATAACCCACTGATCAAAGAGAGCTAAATGCATGCTAGATGTTGCAGATTGCTCACTAACCTGACTCACATTTAGACTCTTCATTTGAAGGGAGTCACAGAAGGGATCTTCATTGTATTTTTAAACTTTTACTCCTTCATATTTGCATTTCCTCCTCCATGACACTGTGTTTATTCCTGATCATTTTATTTTATTGTCTTAATTTCCATTCATTTTCAATGTATCCTTGTTTCACACAGACATCCCAACATTTAATCCGCAATTATGATAAACCATGGTTGACAAACAGCAAAACATCAAGTCCTTTTAAGTCACCAGAGTCCCCTGAACGCCGAATCCCATCACCAGAGGTATAGTACGGTGAAGTACTCCCAGTCTAAAAGACAAATGCTGGTAGTGGTCAATCAATTCTCTTTTGTATTGACCTTGAGTTTAGCTACCTATCTTGGAAAGGGCTATGACAAAACGTTAGTTGTTTGGAAATTCTGGGAAGAATTTTGTGCTGTTTTTCAGGATTCCAAATGCATTTTAGTTTCTCTCTCCTACATAATGGTTTGTGATATGAAATTGAAACAATGGGATATGATGATAAACTTTAAATACTTTTTGTGAATACCCTCCCGAAAATTTTGCATTTTCTTTCAGAGAAATGGATCAAATCGCTTTATGTAGCAACAGTGCTGCACAAAACTGCAGTGACATCAGCCAGTGTTTGAACACCTTTGCACTTCAGTAATCTATTCTTAAAGATTTATTGATGGAAATAAATATTTCAATTTAACCTTGTGGTTAAAGCTAACTTAGTGAGGGGAAAGAAAAGCGAAATGATTGCAGGCAATAAAGTATTCTTTTCAGGAGGTTGGAGGATTTGACATCATTGATCAGTTAGTGTACAGCAATTTTATCCTAAATAAGTAATTTGCATAAATGTAATATTATTGACGAGTTTGGTCTGAACTCTAAGGTCCAAGATAAAGAATACATAAAACTTTGAATCCTGAAAAAGAGGCCCTATTATAGCCCGGTTATTCTTTCTTAATCTGTAACACTAGAACTAGTTGAGATTTTTCCACACTTTGAGCACTTCCTTTATGCATCTTGACCTGTCAAGATCTAGTGTTCATTTATCTGCTAACCTTCCCTTTCTATAACACCCTCAATTTTTTCCACAAACATTTATTCCTTTTCATTCATTTCATCTTGTTTGAGTCCAGAAGGGATCATGTAATTGTGTATGTCTTCCCAAAGGTCTTTTTCCCTTCTCTTAAAAGCTTCACGTGTCTTATGCATGATGGAGTGGTTTACTGTCTATGCAGTCCACACTGGATTGTAATTCACTGTTGATATTTCTGGCATAGCTTCTGTGATTGTAGATTTTTCAGGATTGGTATTTTCCTTTCTGGAATCTGTTCAGCAATGCACCATGAAAGCTACAGAATGCTATACTTCAGATACTGCAAGGTGGGGAAGAAGAACCTTGACCTGGTCAACCCTCACAATTTCTGAATAAGCCCTGGAGGATACATATCCTTGGCCATATATATCAATTTCACCCATTTTTCCAGGGCTGTACCAGTACTTTCCACAATGTTGCATTTGACCAAAGACCACCCCACCATGAAAATTTCAGGCTTACGAGTGTAAAAAAAAATGTATTTGAAATTTGAAGTGAAATATAAGTTCTGAATATGTGGGCCAGGTGGGGCCCAGGCTTAGTCTGTAAAAACTTATCAAATGATATGACAGTGAACGTGTTCATGTCACATACATTGGGAAGTGAAAGAATAAACCTCAAGACTCTCTGTTGTCCACCCCAGTCCAACACCAGCATCTGCACATCATCTGCAGTTTACAAGATCAGAAGTCACACAACACCAGGTTATAGTCCAATGGGTTTATTTGAAATCACAAGCTTTCGCAGCACTGCTCCTTCGTCAGGTGATGAAGGAGTAACGCTCCAAAAGCTTGTGGTTTTAGATAAACCTGTCGGACTATAACCTGATATTGTGTGACTTCTGACCTTGTGAACTACAGAAGTACAAAACCGAAAATGCTGAAAATATGCAACAAGTTGGTTGGTCTCTGGAGACTTTGCACATAAGTTAACATCTTCAGTGTGAGCCATTCTTCAAAACAGAGTTCAGAAGAATGGTTTACACTTTAAAAAAAAATTCTCCATGCAGATGCCAGTACACCAGTTATGTGCTTTCAGCACTTTGTTTCTTGTTTCGGATATCCACATTAACAATGTTCACATTTTTAGTTCTGAGTTGCAGCTTAGATTCAGATATAATGATCCTGTTTCAAAATCAAATTGCCTTTAATGCTTAAATTGGTAGTCGCTCATGCAAGTAATTTTTCAGATTCTGTAGTCCCTCTCAACAAATGACTTTCTGCGTGAACAGGTTCCTATATTTTCACACCACTTCCTAATTTGTATTGTTACCATTTGTTTAATGGCACAAGAACAGAGCTGAGTTGAATCGACTGCTAAACAATTGGCTACCTTCAAACAGAAAATGGTTTGGGTGCAATTGAGGGATATTCTCTCAAAAGGGAAAGTAGGATAAACGATTCCAGAGCTCCCTTTTGACAAAGGACATAAAAATTACATTAAACAAGAAATAGTACATTTATGACATGTGTCAGGAAGTAAAATACAATTAATAAATAGGTTGATTATAAAAAGTCTCAGAAGGCAGCCAAAAGCAAATAAGAGAAGCAGAGAGATTATGAGAAAAGCCTGATAGCTAAGGTAAAGGGAAATCCCAAAGTCTTCTATAAGTATATCAATAGTGAAAAGAGGAGTAGGGCCAAAGAGAGACCAAAAGTTGGTTTTCGTAAAAGCAAGAGCATAGCTGAGATGTTAAATGAACAGTTTGCATCTGTATTTACCTCCGAACCAGATGCTGTCCAAGCTATTATGACAAATGTGATTTCAATCACAAGAAGAGTTCAAAATTGCCAAGGAGAAAATGTTGAATAAGCTGTCGGTAGATAAGGCACTGAGGCCAGATGAGGTACAGCCAAGAATATTGAAGGAAGTAAAAACAGAAATTGCATTGGCAATAATATTTTGTTCTTGCCTAAATTTAGGGATAATGCTAGAGGACAGGAAGATGGCAAACATTACAGCCTTTTTCAAAAAGTGTTGTAAAAATGGCACAGCACAATGCCTCAGTGGTCAGCACTGCTGCCTCACAGTGCTAGGGACCCGGGTTCAATTCCAGCCTGAGGTGACTGTCTGTCTGTGTGGAGTTTGCAAATTCTCCCGGTCTGTGTGGATTTTCTCCAGGTGCAATGGTTTCCTCCCACAGTCCAACGATGTGCAGGTTGGTTGTATTGGCCATGCTAAATTACCCAGAGGTGTGCAGGCTAGGTGGGTTAGCCATGGGGAATGTGATGTTACAGGGATAGGGTGGGAGGTGTGTCTGAGTAGAATGTTGTTCAGAGGGTCGCTATGGACTCAATGGGCCGAATCGCCTGTTTCCGCACTGTAAGGATTCTATCTCATCAGATCAGACAATTTAACTCTGGTGGTGTACAAACTTCTAGGAACAATTACTTGGAGTAGAATTAATAATTATTCAGAAATATCAGTATGATTTGTTAAGGGAAAATGTGCTTAATTTGCTATAGATAGCTGGAGGAGGCCAGCAGGCCAGGCAGCATCAGAGGAGCAGAAAAGTTGACGTTTCGGGTCGGGACCCTTCTTCAAAAATGGGGAGGAGGAAGGGAGCTCAGAAATAAATAGAGAGGAGGGGTGGGGCTGGGGGAGGTAGGTGGGATGGTGATAGGTGAGTACAGGTGGGGATTGGTCAGTGAGGTGGGAGGGCGGATAGGTGGGAGAGAAGATGGACAGGTTGTGTCAGGTCAAGGCGGCAGGGATGAGAGGGAGGGTTGGTCATGGGATGAGGCCGGGGCTAGGAGATTTTGAAACTGGTAAAATCCATGTTTAGGCCATTGGGCTGTCGGGTATATTGGCATATGACATATTGGCAATAACAGAAGCACAGCTTAAAAGTGGAGAGGTTTAAATGGTTAATATTCAGAGATTCAAACTATTCTAAAAGTTGGGGAAAGAAAAATGGGAGGTGGGCTGGCAGTATTTATTTGTGAAGACCCTGTAGTGTTAAATGTATAGAATGACCTTAAGGAGCAAGGACAGAATCCTTTTAGTTGGAGTTGAGGAGTGAAAAGGGAATGAAGGGAATAGTTGGGAATATTCTATAGGTTTACTAATTGTGAGAGATATTGTTTAGCAAATCTGCAGGGAAAAGGTTACAAAGATAAGAATGGAACCAGGTGAGAGCAGTGCCACCCAGCTGGATGGCATTGGAGAGGTGTTGGAAGAGGGTGATATGGTCAACTGTCTGAAAAGCTGTTGAACGTTCAGGCAGAATGGTTTATCTTTGTTACAGTCAGTGATTTACCCTCGTATCAGTGATCCAGACTTCCGGTTCTTCATCTGGGCATGTTATGAATGGTTCATTATCAAACCACTCCAAATACATTAAAAATTGAGAGAGAATGTGAAGTGGAAAATAAGACAGAGAGAGAGAAAATAGTAAGACATTGACAGATAGGTAGAGACAAAGAGGATGATGCATGCTCTGGGATCCAGGGCAAAGATTGAATACTCAGTAACTTTGTAACTGTGTTTACTCAGGATTCTGATAAAATAGCCAAAGAAACAGAGATTGTAGAGGTAAGTTGTGAGCATTTGTTTTTCAGACTGAGGGATAGTAGACAGTAGTGCTCCCCAAGCATCAGTGCAAGGACCACAGCTGTTTCTGTTACATTACTTTGATATTGGAATACAGAGCAAAATTTCAAACCTTGCTAGTAATTACAAACTTGGAGTGGTAAAGAGTGAGGGTGATACCAATCGCTTGCAACAGGACACAGATAAGCTGGCACATTGGACAGGCAATTGTGAGATGATGCATTTTGGCAGAAGGGATACAGCAACATTTTGTAGACTTAATGGTACAGTTGTAAAGAGTGCATGGGGATCCATTTACATTGATCTTTGAAGGTGAGGGGACCCTTTGAGAGTTACTTAGCAAGGCATATGAAATCTTGAGCTTCATAAAATTCTGGGTTAGGCCCCAAGTAGGGTAGTGCATCCATTTCTGGTCATCACATGTTCAGAAAGATGTGAGAGTCCATGGGATGAAACTTACCAGAATGGTTCCAGGGATGAAGGATTTTAGTCACAAGGTTATGTCAGATAAGCTCGGCTTGTTCTCCTTGGTGCAAAAGAATCTTGAGGGGAAATTTGATAGAGGCCTAGAAGATAATGTCAGGTTTGGATAAAGTAGACAAAAGAAAACCATTCCTATTACCTGATGGTACAAGGAGCAGGAGACACACACTTAAGATTTTGGTCAGGAGATGCAGGGGAATTGTGAGGAATTTTTTTTATGCAGAGAGTTGTAATGACCTGGAACTCTCTACTTATGAGGTTGGCAGAAGTAAGAGATAATTAATGATTTAAAAAGAAAACTGGATAGACACCTGAAGGCGATGACCTTACAGAGCTAGATTGGGGGAATAAGAGTAACTGAATTACTCTGTAGAAAGCTGACAAACATGATGGGCCAAATGACATCCTCTCATGGTATAAGGACTTTACAACTTTGAACATAAAGTCAGCTTTAAATGTTATGGTCATACTTTGATGTTGTAATAATATGAAATGAAGAAAAGTGAGCATGATGCTGATACCCGATTTGATTTCCAGAACCACTTGCATTGAAATATAACTGGCACGTTGTGCTGAATATGGAGCAACTCTGTGAATTTGACAGTTCAGGATCATATCCACATGTATAGTTACTGTGAATTAATGTCTGATCTTCTAGTTGCATGTGCAGACCTTCTGCAATGTCAGGTTTTGCAGAACAGTGACCTTAATATGTAATTTGGCCTGTTTGGTCTGTCTTTGAGTTTATAACAACCATGACAAGTTAAATTGCCACAGAAGCAACCTGCTGTCAGGTGTTTTATGTAAAATGTGTATATGTGTATTCTGTATTAGTTCAAGGCCTGTGAGTAGTGTATTGAAATAAAGATAAGGTTTAAAATGTTTTCCACCAGATTGACATTAATGTAGTTCATTGAATGATTGAAACAATGTATTAACAGAAAATGATGGCATTATAAAGGTGTTTTGCACCATCTTTTCAAGAGGTGTTTGGATAAGCCCTGCCACTTTTCATCCTTGTGCAGTAAGACTGCCCCCCAGTGGTCACCTCAATTTAAGCATCACCTCCAAAGTCAAATGATCATTTTTAAGTAAAGATCTGACATTCCAAATTTAGCTCTGTGAATTCTTTTTCCAGTAGTTTACTTAAGGTATTTTAGAGCAACACATAGGAATTATATTGGAGAGATCCTTGGAATGTTGAAAGATAATATTACTGGCACTTACTCTACCACTTCTTTGCCACATGTGAGAATATTAAGAAGAGAAAATGGGAATGGAACCCTCTATTATGGATCAGAGATAGACACCAGTATTAAATAACTGAAGACATTTCTTTTCCACTTCTTTGAAGTAATAAGGCTTTAATACTCGAGTCCACCTCAGGAGTGGTGAGCAAAGTTCACCACAAAGTAGATGGTTAGAACATCTGATTAATCAGTTGTAATTATCAGGGCTACCTGTTTTAAACCTCAGGTGTGTGGGTTTACATGGTGTACTGTAATACTGTAATTTTGATTGATAATGCATCCCACCAATTACTACTTCTCTGATCTGGATGGATAATCAATCTTCAATCAAGGTTTTTCTACGCGCCTCATGTATGCAATCCAAATTAACAAAAGTATTTTATGCACTATTATTCCCCCCAACCCTTTATAGCAGAATGTCAGTGACATTAGGATAAGTGCTACATTTCCCAAGAATGACCTTTTATCTCCAGAGTTAATGTATTTACTTAGTTAATTAATAAATTGTAAAGGTTAATCCTTTGAAGCAGCAGAAAGATATTACATTCTGTTGATCCCATACAAATCATTCTAACATTCAATATGCATTAAATTAGAAAGGAAATTAATGACAGATTTATTCATGTTTTGGATACAGCCAGTTGGTGCCATGCTTAACTGATGTGTACATAATTTTTATCTAAAGTACATCGCAAGCTAAATTTGATGAGACAACAACAAAAGTCTGACATACTCAGGAATGCTTTGAGGGAATCAGGTTGAAATTTCAAGTGATATTTACATATCAACTACATCATTCAAAGATAATTGCACCACAGTGGAAAAATATTAATTCATTTCTCTGATTACCTGATCTAGGTAACCCCAATCCAGGGAAGCAAACTGCGACCGCCTGGATATTTGTCAGGAAAAAGTTTCCACTCTGGAGACGAAAGCAATTTAACATCAACCCCTCCTTCTAGGGGGCGGTCACAAGTACCAGGTGAGTGTTTAATTATAGAATCAGAGTTATACAGCTCAGAAACAGATCCTTTGGTCCAAATTGTCCCCACTGTCCAGACATCCCAGTCTGACCTGGTCCCATTTGCCAGCATATGGTCCATATCCCTCTAAACCCTTCCTATTCGTATACCCATCCGGATGCCTTTTAAATGTTGAAATTGTACCCAGCTTCACCACTTCTAGCAACTCGTTTCAGACATGCACCACCCTCTGCATGAAAAAGTTACACCTCTGGTTCTTTTTAAATCTTTCCCCTCTCATTTTAAACCTATGCCCTCCAGCTTTAGACTCCCCTTCCGTGGGGAAAAGACCATGACTGTTCTCCCTATCCGTGACCCCCCCACCCTATGATTTTTTAAACCTCGATGAGGTCACCCCTCAGTCTCTGATGCTCCAGGGGAAAAAGCCCAGGCCTATTCAGCCTCTCCCTGTAGCTCAAAACCTCCAGTCCTGGCCACATCCTTGTAAATCTTTTCTGCACCCTCTCAGGTTTAACACCATCCTTCTTACAGAAGGGCAACCAGAACTGTACACAATAATCCAAAAGTGGCCTTACCAACGTCCTGTACATCCGCAACAAGACATCCCAACTCCTATACTCATGACCAATGAAAGCAAGCATGCCAAATGCTTCCTTGGCAACGCTGTCTACCTGCAACTCTACTTTCATCCCTAGGTCTGTTTGTTCGGCAACACTTCGCAGGGCCCTACCATTTGCTGTATAAGTCCTGCCCTGGTTTGCCTTACGAAAATGCAACACCTCACATTTATCGAAATTAAACTCCATTTGCCACTCCTCGGCCCATTGGCCCATCTCAACGTCCTCTTGTACTCTGAGATAATCGTCTTCACTGTCCACTACACCTCCTATTTTGGTGTCATCTGCATACCTCCTATGTTCACATCCAAATCGTTTATATAGATGATGAAAAGCGGTGGACCGAGCACTGATCCTTATGACACACCACTGGTCACAGGCCTCCAGTTTGAAAAACACCCCTCCACCACTACCCTCTCTTCTTTACCTTCAAGTCAATTTTGTATCCAATTGGTTAGCTCCCTCTGGAGCCCATGTTACTAACCAGTCTACCATGTGGAACTTTGTCAAATGCCTTGCTGAAGTCCATATAGACAACGTCTACCAGTCTCCTTCATGAATCTTCTTTGTCACCTCTTCGAAAAACTCAATCGAATTAGTGAGACATGATTTCCCACGCACAAAGCCATGTTGCCTTTCCAAATACATGTAAATCCTGTCCCTCAGAATCCCCTCCAGCAGCTTGGGCGGCACAGTGGTTGCCACTCTTGCCTCACAACGCCAAAGACCTGTGTTCACTTCCAGCCTCAGGCGACTGTCTGTGTGGAGTTTGCACGTTCTCCCCATGTCTGTGTGGGTTTCCTCAGGGTGCTCCGGTTTCCTCCCACAGTCCAAAGATATGCAGACTATTTGGATTGGCAATGCTAAATTGCCCATAGTGTCTAGGGTAGGTGATAGGTCTGGATGGGATGCTTTTCAGATGGTTGGTGTGGACTTGATGGGCCAAATGGCCTGCTTCCACACTGTAGGGATTCTATGAATTTACCTAACACGGACGTAAGGCTCGCTGGTCTATAGTTCCTGGGATTTCCTTACAATCTTTCTTAAACAATGGCACCACATTAGCCAAATTTCAGTCTTCCAGCACCTCATCCATGGCTATCAATGATACAAATATCTCAGCAAGGAGCCCAATGATCTCTTGCCTGGCTTCCCACAAAGTTCTGGTCAGGTCCTGTGGATTTATTTACATTTATGCATTTTAAGACCTCTAGCACCTCCTCTTCTGTAACCTGGACACTTTTCAAGATATCAGTATTTATTTCCCCCGGTTCTCCAGCTTCCATGTCGTTCTCTACAGTAAATACTGATGCAAAATACTCATTTACTATATCACCCATCTCTGGCGGTTCCACACATAGACAGCCCTGTTGATCTTTAAGGGGCCCTATTCTCTCCCTAGTTACTGTTTTACACTTAATCTATTTATAGAATCTCTTTGGATTTTCCTTAACCTTATTTGCCAAAGCTATCTCATATCCCCTTTTTGCCCTCCTGATTTCCCTCAAAAGTATATTCCTACAATCTCTATACTGTTCTAGGGAATCACTCGATCCTTGCTGTCTATACCTGATTAATGCCTCCTTTTTCTTGACCACAGCCTCAATTTTTCTAGTCATCCAGCATTCCCCCACCTACCAGCCTTGCCCTTCACATTAATATGAACATACTGTCTTCGAACTCTCGTTTTCTCATTCTGAAAAGCCTCACACTTCCCAGCCGTTCTTTACCTGTGAATAGCTTCCCCCAATGAATTTTTGAAAGTCTTGTGATTATAGTTTTACCATTTTCTATATTTGTAGAGTAAATTTTGAAACTTTTCAGGGAAAGAAATTCTGTAGAAAGACCTTTTCATGTAACACCTGATAACTTCACTGCCAAGAATGATATGAATTATGGGATCATACAGTACGAAAAAGGCTCTTCAGATCCCCAAGGCTATCCTGTCAAAAAACTACACAAGATCTACACTGGTCTCATTTTCCAGCACGAAGCCCATAGCCTTCAATGTTATGACACTACAAATGCTAGTCCAAGTAATTTTTAACTCCCATCCCAGGAAGTGCATTTCAGATCCTCACCACCCTTTAGGTGAAAAACCTTTTCCTCAAATCTCCTCTGTACCTCCTGCCTTTTACCTTAAAAGTATGTCCTCTGTTTTACTGACGTTTCAACTAAGGGGAACAGCTGCTTTTTATCTGTGTCCACATCCATCACAATCTTTTGTACCTCTATTATATTGCACCTCACTTCATAGCTGAAGAACCCCATTCCAGACAACATCCTGATGAATCTCCATCGCACCTCCTCCCATGCAGTCACATCCTTCCTAAAGTGCAATGACCAGAACTGCACACAGTGCTCCAGCTGCAGCCTGACCAAGTTCTGTAAAACTCCAACATGACCTCCTTGCTTTTTTAATCTATACCTCAACTGATAAAGGCAAGTGTCCCAAATGCTGTCTTAACGACCCTATTAACCTGCTGTGCCACCTTCACGATCTGTGGACAAGCACTCCAAGATCCCTCTGTTCCTCTGAGCTTCCTAGTGTCCTGCCATTCATTGAGTACTTCCTTGTTAGTTCTTCCAAAGCGCATCACCTCACATGTATCAGGGTTAAAATCCATCTGCCACTGCACTGCCCACCTGACCAATCTGTCTATATCTTCCTGTAACCTTAGACTTTCTTCCTCACTGTCAACCAGCCGGCCAATCTTTGTGTCATTCACAAACTTATTTATCGTAACCCCACATTCTCATCTACATTGTTTTATATATCTCACAAACAATAAGCACTGATCCGTGTGGTAAGCCACCAGACAGCAGCCACCCCTGTCTGTCTCCTGCCATTCAAACAATCTTGGATTCAACTTAACAAGTTACCCTTGATCCCCTGTGCATTTACCTCCTTTATCAGTCTCTCTTTGCTGGGAAAATAACTTAGTTTCTTGTGCATGTCCTTGTTAATGTGAAATAACCAGCAATCTGTTGCAAAGGAGACACATAAATTGCTGGATAGTGTGGACTGTTCTGCAATTAGTCTTACAGCAGCAATTCATTCACAACTTGTAATGCATTTGAAGAAGTTGTTCTACCATGCATTGCTAACTATACTCACTGTAGAATGATTAGAATGGTACAAGGATACTTTTAATGACTGGCATTGCTAAAACATAAACATCTCTGTGCCAGCTTAAACTGGAAGGCCTCATTTCCTTAGAAGTTGAATCTAAAGTTGGAAAGTGTCAGGATTTGACCTCTATGTGATGATAAAAGTGTTGTAAAAAACATGAGCCTGACTGAACTATAAGAGAGAGGAGGCTGTTGAGAAGTAAGATATCAATCTGAGAATCCGATTTTGATCATTGCTTGTGACACCTGATGAAAAATACATATGGATAGAAAAAGGATTGTGCTGTTCTAGATTGTCAAGTAGTATCTTGAAGTCCCCTTTTCCTCCTGCACAATGAACAATGGCCATTTGGGCACCTTTACAAAGGGTGACTGGTGCATGTTGTACCAACCCCTAGCAACACTGACATCTTCAAAGGGAAGCACTGTAGTAGGAAGAGGTGGGTACTTGCCTTCAACCTTGCCAGTAAAACTAGAAGATTTGCTAGGAAATTGACAGCTAAGATTCCACAGCATTCTGTTATGTGCTCCTGTAAAATCCCAAATCGCAAATTAAACTCCCCCATTTTAATTTTCTCAATGAATCTCAAAATCTGAGTATTTATCTTTTGTAACCAATTTGTGCCCTTTGTGTGAACTTTAATGGTGATCAGAAGTGTCAGCAAATCAAGTGCAAGATAATTTGAATTGCCTAATGGTGGATAAAACGGATTTTATTTGATGAACTGCATATATGTGTCTGTCTTGCTTTTTTTTAATGTGACTATCCAGTCCGAGACTCAAGAAAAATCCCAAGTCGACCCACAAGCCGAGCTGGAAGCAAGACCGGCAGTCGAGCCAGTAGTCGTCGTGGGAGTGACGCTTCTGATTTTGACATTTCGGATATCCAGTCTGTATGCTCAGATGTTTCAGAAACAGTGCCTGACACTAGCAGATCAGGGTCACGAGCAGGATCTCGGCCAACTTCCGCGAAACCTTCGAAAATCCCAACACCATCACGGAGGTCCCCAGCAACTAGCAAACTGAGTGCGGCCTCCAAAAGATAGTGCGATCAACCCAGCGGAAGTTCTCTGAAATCATTTGATAGTGCAGTCCTTGGGATGTAAAATATTCTGTAGAATCTGTTGTGAAATATTGCAAGAGGTGGACTTTTGATGCTGCAGAATGGCCTTATTTGTGTTTTTGTCTTGTAAGGTATGTTATTTTATGTGAATAATTATTTTGTTCATTTTTTTGTTGACACCATATCCTCTGGAGGGAAAACTAAAAAGAGCTTTTAAGAAAGATGTAAGTTAAACTAATATTTTTACATAATAGTATGGAATTAGGTAATTATCTTGGAAAGCTGTTTCTGAATGTACTGTTAAAAAATATAAAATCCCAGGAACATGTTGTGTCAATAAGCAGGCAGATGACTCCATAATTTGCTAACAGCACTGATTACCTCATACACAATTCAATGAGGCAATGCTGGATTTTGTGAAATAATCTTTATTTTTGCTCAGAGCTGATTTTCCTTAATTAACCACAAAGCAAATGTCTGTGTCCCAGATAATTAAAAAAAGGGATGTAAAAAGTTGATCAGCACTACCTTAATGTAGCAAACTTGAATTTACTCACAAATGTTTAATAACACACTTAGGCCGGCTGTTAAGACACTTAAAAAGAAATTCCTGCAGCATTTTTGTGCCATTTCATATAGCTGAGATCAAACTGCCATTGTTAAAACCCCTTTCCCTCCCCTCAACAAGTCATTTATACTAATAGTAATTAATATATAAGTATGAAGTGTGTTGATGTCAATGTGAATTTTTTTTTGCTTGAGTGGAAGATAATTGTATCATTGATCCCATTTTGTATTAAAGCAAAGTTGCTTGCAGTAAGTCACAATCTGAATCATCCCTACTTGTTACTTTACAGCAATACTTCATGCAAGACTATTTCTTTATTTATTTAACAAAATAGATGATAATTTAATGTAGGCATTAGCAGTGAATGAATGACCTAGAAGGGTTCCTCCAAATGCTTATTAAAGCATTCTTTTCAGACCTATGCCGGTTTTTACTCTTTTGTTACTTCACTTTGCAGATTCGCGAACTTTAAATATAAATATGAAACAATGAGAAGTTGCATTTATATAGCACCTCTGATGTGATAGAAATGTGGAGCTGGGTGTCATCCTCTGAAATCTGAAAGCTGGTTACATATGTGCAGATGATGGAGAGACAACATGCCTTCCTCTTGTAGCTCTGTGTTGCTCTACTTTGTCCTTCCTTCAGAAGCTGTGGGGTGTCCTTAGCCACTGTTGTTCTCTAACTGATACCAGATTCCTGATTGAGTTCTGTGTAGCATATCTAGACCCTGTCACCCACAGCTCATGTTGACATTGTTGACCACTACGTAAAGTTTAAATCCGTTTTCTTGCTGATTTACACATCCTGAAGTGTGGGTACTTAGGGTGTTGAGAGATGATTCTGTTGAAGACAGTTGCTTTAGTCAGAGTATGTGCTGAGCTGCTATCCACCTCAGTACAGCCTGTGTGTAGCAGCACCCTGAGAGGGGCACTTGTATGAGCGTCCATGAGAACAGTGGGCATTTCAGCACTGTTATAACGTCTTGCAGTGCTACTGGCTGATGTAGCAATGGTTATCAGTTTCAACCATACAGGACCATTAAAGTCACTGACAAAAGTCAGGTTGCAAGATTTGATTTGCACCAATGTTAGTTAAAAGACCAGGCACTGAGTTTGCAGTAATATTGAAGAATTTCAATTGCAAAGTGTTTGTAAGTGACCTGGAGTGTTTTGGTGAGTTCCAAGATTTGGTAATAGGTGTTACTACATCATTGCAGAGAGGGTAGAGCATCTAGTGTCCTGTCCACAAATAGGCTACAAATGATATGTGGGTACTGGTCCTGAGGTGCCTCTAGGTCTGCACCACAATAGGGAGGTGGAGCAGAGACTACAGCAGTGGCAAGATTTGAGCAATGACTTTTGCCAATTTGGAGCTGGATTCTTCCAGTCTGACAAGCCAGCCATTGCATCCTGCATATCGGTGCAAGTGTCCATCAGCTTTCTGTATGCCATTCAATTGTATTCCTCATCTGAGTACACTGTAATACAATGCATCTACAAATTCATCTTCCAGTGAACTGGATCACCCTTTGGAGTGAGGGAAGGTGAGAAGCTGGAAAACAAGAGGGTTATTGTTCATCATGTCAGATAGTGAGATAAGCTGTAAATTTAGAAATGTGTAAGTCAGAGATATATCATCATTCTGAATGTTTTCAGCTACATCACATTTCATGGACTCCATCACAGTGGCCCCAAAATGCTGAAAGCCGTTTCCTCTTTAGACCTGAGACAATGCAGCAAATTTGCCCACTTGCCTTTTCCATCATATTCCCTTCTATTACATGTAATCCTCCATCAAGAGAGGGGCAGAATACTAGTGATTGTGCATCACTATGTTTACATTAAGAAGCGTACTAAATGCATGGAAAATTTAATTCCTGATTACACTATGTGGTACTGCTCACTGCTTAATATCATATGATTGATCATATTGCTGTAACAGGTATAGCAGTATATGTCTTACAACAAATGCAGAATTTTGTCTTGTTCTTTTAAAACTATAAATCCAATTGTAAAAGTATTTAAATGCTATTTATATTGTGATAATGGCCTAATTCGCTTGTACAGACTTCAGACCTATTTAAGCGGTTTTTTCATAGTCATTGCATTTTGCTGAAACTAACGTATGGTGTCACTTGGATAATGATGATGTCAATCCAGTTGAAATTGTATCTAGAGGGCTTCAGTAGCTTGGACAGATCTTTGGTATCAGTGGAAAGTTAGTATGTTAGATTCAGAATTGGCTCCTAGTCAGAAAGTTGCAGTCAATGTTTGTGGATCATTCTATTGCCTGTTAGACTCTCTGCTGCACAGATTTGTTAAAAGCCTGGACAGTAGTGTTGTGGGGATGACCCTTAGGCTTGCTGATGACTCAAATATTTTTGTTTAATGGTTAAAAAGACAATGGAAGAGCATAGTCTTGATGTAACTAACCATCTAGAGCACTCCAGGTTTATGATCAAGAAACTACACACAATCAATGTGGAGAAGTCAAAGGCAAAGCAAAGAGGATATTAGGGTTTATTGTTAGACCTACTCAGTAAAGACTTGCATTAATTGCTTGAATTCTTCATGACTGATCAGGTATTTCAAAGTGCTTTACAGCCAGTTTTTATGTACTTTTTTTTTCTGAAATGTAGTCATTGTTGCAGTTTAAGAAATCCAGCAAGCACACCGCAAACTCCCACAAACAACAAGGTGATAATGACCAATTAGTTTGATTTTATGATGTTGATTGATGGATCAGTGGGATAACTCCCCTACTGTTCTTCAAAGTGTTGCTAGGGGATGTTTTACAGCAGACGGATGGGGCCTTAGTTGATGTCACATTTGAAAGTCAGAACTCCGTCAGTACTTACACTGGAGTGTCCGCCTTGATTGTTGCATTCATATACGGGATTAGGATTTGAACCCAGAGTCTGCATTATGACTAAGGTGAAAAGTACAAATCAAAGAATGCTTCTCTATCATTATACAGGCTGTTGATTTGATTGTATCATGATGGCTGCTTCCACTCTGGTCATGTCACATAGTGGAAAATATAGTAGTCCCAGAAAATTCAGAAGTGAAAGGTGCTTAAGGAATGCTGGTTCTTCAAACACAACTTAAAGAGCTGCAGTATGTCTGGCATTTCATTTATGTATATTTTAAGACCACATGCAGATCTGTGAACATAGGCTTGCATCTGAAAACATTATGCAAAGAGTTCCCTGGAATGTTCAGTAATTGGATACACCAAGCTATCTGTGCTACCTTCTCACCTTCAAGGTAGCTAAAGTTCTTACCGAGCTTTATTTTGTATTTGTCCTTTATGATATTTTAAAATCAAGGTTTTATTCTCCTGTTTTTGCTGGGTTTGACTTTGTTTGGTATATAATTACCCTTGGGCTATTAACATAAAATGACAGGACTCTTTGACCACTTAATGTTCTTTTTAATATTGCTGAAGGTTCATTCTTAAGTAGCATTTGCTTCCTAGGGTTGCCCTTGCTGAATTGTAGCTTTTGCTTTGATCATATGCCAACGTACTATTTAACCTTAATAGACATACAAACCATTCTGTCTTTGTTCTGTACTAAAATAATGTAAAAACATATCCATATCCCTACCGTAGGTTCTTGCCTCCTAATACTAATGATCAACTGCAATATTCCATCTGGATGTAACTAACCACCAGCTCACAGACACAACAGTTGAAGGCAGAGAATGTTGAGTACAGAATCCTTTGTGAAAGCATGTATTAGTGGTCCTTGCTGATCGTTTTATCATTGACTCAATTTTTCTACACTCCTTCACAGTTTAAATAAATTTAAACAATCGGATATATAAATCTAAAGTTTACCATATCATGATATGAACCAGAACTGTTTTAACATACTTTGACATCAACATAAAGTCACCCAGCATTGGAATGAATAGTAATTCTTCCAAATATTTAATGGTGCACAGCTTTTGGCATATGCTACATCATATCCAAATGAATAACTGTGTAATACTGTGCCAGCGATACATCACCAGGAATATACATTTACCATAGGCACATTTGGGTCTAATTGCATTGATTAATTATTTTGGTTTGTTGATTATCAGAGCCAGTACAGATCAGCCAGAGAACTGATGCTATTTAAAGCTGAATCAGTGTCTTAAGGAATGGATGTATGTTTCCTACTGAAAAAAATCAGTATCAAATTCTGTATCAAGCACATATAGAAAAAGAATTCTTTTATAAACTAACCAACTACCATTGCAAAATCATTCTTCATGAATTGAGTTCAAAAGCAGTGTGACTGGTGAGCTTAAGCTCAAGTCAGGATGTTGGGGACGGTCATTCAGTGTGATTTGTATTGGTAATTGTGAGTTGGCCACCAGTACAATGTTTTATCTGATGTAGCAATGTTTATGTTAACTCCAGTAATATAAACTGAGCATGGGTTTCTTAGAATTGAAGAATCCAACAGAAATATATTCCAACAAACTACAACTCACTAGGTTAGTTCTGAAGAAAGGTCACAAGACCTGGAACGTTGTCTGCTTTGTCTCCACAGATTCTGCCAGACTTGCTGAATTTCTTCAGAAACGTTTCTGTTTTTGTCACTGAGTTACTGCTCTGTAAATCAAGCCCCATCATTCTCGGAGTTGCCACAAATGTGAAAATTTGATGATAAATCCAAATTTGCCCCTAACTTCCTGCTATCCAGGATAAAAGCAAACCACACCAGTTTTTTTTTAGTAACAATAAAGCTTAATTATTTCAAAACTTTTAACCAAGAATATAAACTGTAAATCCCATTCTTTTAATGTAACTTAGACTTTACCCACTTTAGGACACCTGCACATACATGCAGACACACAAAGAAAAAAAATGACAAGTTACAAATAGAAGGCACTTTTGCAGAACAAGAAAACCAAAAGATTGATTTGTCATCTTCTGTTTCACACCCCTCAGAATCTCTGTTAAATCTCAATGCTGGGTTCTCCTGAACCCATAACAAGTGGTGCCAATTGAAAAGTCAATCAAAAGACTGTGTTTAGGTAGAATTGCCCTGAACTCATACAGGTGCTGCTGCTTTGCCTGGATACAATGTCCCCATAAGTAGCATTAGACTCTAGACAGTGGAGTGGTGGGTCAATAGCCAAGAGATTGATGCATCAAATCAATCCACAGCTATTCTCCTACACATTAGGAAGTAGCATCTTCCCTCAAATTTACCCCAAATTGTTGCTAGAGGATTGTCTGTTCTCAGCCCCACCCCCAAGCCTAACCTGAGTAATATTGTTGCATATGTATCAGTTAGCCCCACTTGCTTTGTAAGCTGCAAACTTCTTTTGTTTAAAGCAGTGCCCTTTTTTTCATTTTAAGTCCACAGTCCAAAAATAAATAGATGGAGTCTCTCTTATACAATCAAGGACCATGTTACTA